TCGGCCAATCAGAGGAATCGGCACGATCGCGGCCCGCGTTCAATCGGCCGGTCGACGAGGAGCTTGATGACGCTGCTATCGTCGTGTTTGCGAAGCTGGTGCGACGTTAACTCGAAACCGAGGACGGCAATTTCCTTTGTATCAAAAAAGTCTATTTCTAAAGACAAATTAAGAAAATTATTAAACATTTTCTTTAAATAAATTTGATATATTTCTAGATATTCGTGAAAATTTGTATATATACTTTATGAAACTTTAATTACTTTAATTAAAAAGTTTTATTTCAAATCTTAATGCATTAAATTCCAAAAATACCAAAAACTAAGAGATGCTATTTATTTGTTTATCAAATATTTATATGAAATAATGTATTTTATTTAAAAAATTTCAGTCTTATATGGAAAATTAATATCATCATCATTAATTACAATTAAGTTGAAAAATTCATTCGAGTTAAAATAATGAATTTTCTTGAATTATTGAATGAAGCATTATTTTCATTAAGTTATATATGACAAAAAATTTTTATTCGAATCGATATTTTCTATCTGTATGTGTTAAAACATTGATCAAACAAAATTTGACTTCATTAATAATTAAAATTTAGATTTATAAGTTTCAATATTTTGAAATCTACATCTTTCTAGTTCGATAAGTTTTATCATCGGTTATAAAAATAAGTCAATCGATACATTTACTAATGAATTATTAAACTGCATTTATTAAGATTTAAAAATTATAAAAACTTGAAGGTAATACAATAAAACATTTATGCAAAATATTTTTTTATTAAGAAAGATCTAACATTACATCCAACACAGAATAATAGTTATGAAACAGTATTTTTTTTTTTTTTTTTAATACTTTAAGAAACTTGCTAATGCATAAAATAAAATATATAATCTTTGAAATATAGATTCGTGATAAAAGACTAACAATTCTAAATCGATGCATTAAAATTTACTTGTATATTTATCAATAGTTACATTATTTATGTGATTCTAGAAAGTGACAGATGATGAAACAGACAACAGAGTGAATCGAATTTAAGATAAAATCGCAATGATATAGATAAAAAAAGTATAGTTATTTCCGTCGCACTTTAAATTTTCAAATCAATAAATGAAACACATCGTAATTATATAGCGATTAAACTTTTCTTAATCATTAGACTACCATCTATGATTACTAATAACATCCAATTTGCTAATATTTTTACTTAAAAATTATAGACAATTAATTGTGGAATGTATGATGTAGTAAAATTGTTCTTTATTTATATCATGTAATCAATCCAATGATATTTCAAACATAAAAATCAGTTCAATAGAATTAATAAAATTTACATAAATATTAAAAGTCAAGGAAAAATAATGGTAACATATTTAAAGACAATTTATTATAATATTATTATTATTTTACAATTCTGAGCTCAATAATTAATTTATTCAAAAAACGTAAGACTTTTTTCATCTTTATTAATATTTTAGATATTCTTCAAATATTCAATCTTAAAATGCAAAAATTGATTATAACTCTTGACTCTTTCTATGCTATTTAAATAAAATAAAAAATCAACCAAATAATCAATTTGCAAATTTTCATCGAATTATCGTCAAATTGTACGTTCTTAAAATAATTTCAATATAATATCTAGAAATAATATTTAGAAATATCTAGAAAATAGTTCAAGATCATCGATATCGAAATAATGTTACGTGTCCTTCGCGCGTACTACATATTTCGAAGATCATGCGTGTCCGTGAGCATACTCGTGTAACACGCGAGTATGCATCGCAGTAGTACCAGCCGATGGTTACACGGCGACTACGTCGCCATGGAAAAAAGGAATAAAGAAGAAAAGAGAAGCGCGCGCAAGGAAGAACCGGTTTCATGGGGGTTTCAGCGTCCATAAAATGATCCGTCTGGCTTGCCGGTTCGACTCCGCTTGCTTCCACTGTGTTCACCTCCCGCGAAAGCGCTTGCTCCGGTGCACCACCTACCTACCTACCTACCCACCTACCTACCTATCTACCTACCTACCTACCTACCTACCTACCTACCTACCTACCTACCTACCTACCTACCTATCTACCTATCTACTTGTTTCACTCTCTTATCCCTTCCTCTTTCTCTTATTCCAGACCTGCTGACCAACGTAAGTAAGTACCTGATTCGACTTCAGGGGTTCGAACTCGCAGCATTCCTGACCGAATGGCGACTGGACATTCCTCATGGGGTAAATCGATGGTAAAAAGCAAAATATGACTTTCTATTTTGAAGATATATGCGTTATAATTAATTAATAATTATCGAATTTGTAGGACATTTATTTTTTTTTTTATATTTATTCATATATATATATAATTCTTTTATGTTTTTTTTTTATGATTTGAAAATGATAGATTAAAATTATCTTTTAAAGTTTCCTTTTTTCTTTATTATAAAACGTAATATCGATCTACAGAAATTATTATAAATTATGTGTTCAAGAATTTTTATAAAAAAAATGTTTATAAAAGTTGGGTAGAAATGACTATAGAATTATTACTGATTATTTTCTTATTTATTTTTTATTTCTTAAACAAAAAAACATTCTTTTTTTAAGTCTAATATTAGATAATATTAGACTTGAAAGAATATTATACTTGACCTCTTTCAATTCACACAATGTTGAACATTGTATAGTCTGTTAAGCAATTCAGGTTAACTGAAGAATGCAAGATCGGATCTTTAATCTGATGCAAGGAGAACAATTGTAGGCGAATAATATGATATTCTGTAAATAGAAGACGCTTTGAGATATTTAAAGATAATATATAAAAAATATGGGAAAGAATTGTAATTGGAATTCTTTAAATTTAAAATTAATGATAAATTGTATCGTTTGGCCTTGAAAAAAATTGCAAAGAAAAGAATTATGAAAATAAAATATGCTTTATATTATGTATTATATGAAGTACGAAGAAGACATGATAAGAAAACTGGTTTCAAATGGTGGAGAATGTTCTGGTAATATTTGCATTTAATGCATATGCATATAATTTATAAGTCCATCAATGTTTTAATTTTAATCATTATTTTAATGATGTGAGACGGGAAAATATCAAAATGATATTTTGGATCTTCCATAAAATCGAATAATAGTTAATCATCACATAATCGCACTTTATGTTACAATCTTTTTGTAACAATATTAGAGATATATTATATAAAAATATGTAATATTATTTGTCATAGATTTATCATCACTTATTTTTCAAGTAAAATTTTTCTATATTTACAAATATAGAAATAAATATGATAAAAGAATAAAATAACAAAAAAATAATCATAAAAGAGTATTTATAATTACATTAAATTTTTAAATGGATAAATATTGGTCACATAAATTACAAGTTATCAAAGAACATAAATATAATATTTTAATTTTATATTTGATATATCAAATAGTGAATAAATAAATTAAATATAAAAAATTAGATATAAGTGTAAAGAAGAATAAAGAAAAATAAATTTCATTTTTAACGTTTTTCAAATAAAATAAGCTTCTGACTTTTAAGTTGTTTCTGCCAGAAAAATTTAAATGTACGTTTTTGTTCTGAAATTACATTCTGTATATGTGCTCATGCACATACACATAAAAGTACAAATTTATAGTAAATTATACCTGGCTACATAATCTCAAGGTATTGTATATATACAATTTAAGTATATTTATATACCTACATTGCCATCGTATTATGAGGATTAGTGCAATGGCTTTAGCCCCGACACTGACCTTGAATCCGAGCCTCAAGCACTATCTCCCTGTAGAAATTCTTCTAGGTAATGATGGTACCAACTATTTTCCTTCGACATTAACGAAAGAAGATGCGGTTAAAGAATTTCTGTACTATTTTGAACATCAACTGAGTTGAAACTTTCTTCCTTCGAATTAGTATTAATTATTATGTATTATATACATGATTCGGATAATATTAAAAACATTAAAATGATTCAAAAAAATTTTCACAATGTGAAAATTTAATTTCACTGAGCAATATCATTAATAATGAAATACTTGATATATTTATGTTATATTGCATTAAACATTCCCTGTTTTAGAAAAATTTCAAATTTAATATTTATGCAAGAAATTCGAAATATTAATAAAATTAAATTTTGAAAAGATCGATCCAAAAATTATCTGATTATTATTGAAATATTATTAATTTGAAAAAAAAATAATTTAGTTTCATGATTAAAAAGAAAAAATAAGATATATGTAATACTTAGATAACTTGTAGCATTAATATGTAACACTAATATCTATTTTTAATATCGTTTACTAGAAATTTAACTATGTATCTGTAGCTACAATATGTATTAGAACTACTCTCACTGAATACACGCAATTCCTTTTGCGAATAGTTAAGTTTGTTATTTGCGCCGATTTTTTGAATATAATTTCTAAAATAATGAAAACTTAGATGAATTACGAATATGATACATATTAAATTGTTTTACCTAACTTAAATACTAACCTAAATGATTCATAATTCGATCAATTTTCAATGAAACTTAATTATATATTATAAAGCAGAAATACTATCAATATTTATAATAGCAATGATAATCGTAACAACTGCTAGGAATAAAACTGTTAAATTCATTAATATTACTATTATATGATATTTAATATTATATTTAATAATATATGATAAATCAATCGATATAGTACAATAACGAATATATATTAAGTAACGAATATAATTGAATAATAATATTATCCAATTATGTCAATATGATACAATAACAATTATCAATATTACGCGATAGCAGAATCATAACAATATCAATAAAATCTTATAAAATTACTGATTAATAAATCAATGATTCAAGTTTGTGAATCGAAAAGATGAACGTTCGCACTAATTATTATATTACCGGTAGGACAAATTAAAGAACTATGTTTATCGATGCCGAAACGTTTCACGATCTCGTATTCCTTCTGACCGATGGAAAGTTGGCCTGCATGTTGCTCGTACCACAGGAATTTAAACGGGGATATAAGTATAAGAACAGGGAGACGGGGAGTCGTTCGCGGTAGTGTGAGGCATAAACGCGCCGGCACCACACCCAGCGTGACCACCATTGCGACACAAGACACAGGACACTGCCATGCGCGTCGCGGTGATCGTGAGTAGCCAAATTCACTTTTTTTCTTCTTTCTTTCTTTTTTACATCCATTAAAGATTCAACTTTTTATCTCCCGCCCTCTTGATTGTCCGCCATTTTGTCGATTCAATCTGTAATTTTTCATTATCAATTATAATGATAGTCTTTTTTTATTTTGTTAGAAATGATAAATATATTGTTCAATCTATATAAAGTTATGATAATGTAAAAAGATTCGAATTGTTTCTTTATATTTTGTTTGTGTTACCGTTTATTGCTCATCTTGAATAAGTTTTTTATCGTTTTAATTATAAGTAAAAAAAAAGTATGGTTTTATAATAGTTTTATAATAAAATTGAAACAAGTATGGTGAAACTGTCGAGAGTTATTTTTTAATATATAGATATGTGTTTAATTTGAAGAGATTCATAATAACTAGAGATATGATGGAATTGATGATAATGAAATTAAAATATTTATATCCTCTATCATTAATGATAGAGAATTGGAAATAGAAGTTGAATTTGAATATTTATTTATAAATAGTTTAAATTTGAACACGGTCCAATTCCATCCTGTTTCCTTTTCCATTAGAACTGACGCTTACGAAGCGCGAACTTTAAAAATGTTTCGAATGAATTTAAATTAGAAAGTGATTTATTAAATCGATAATGTTGAAAGTTAATTGCTACATTTTATAAGTGTATTCTAAATGTAAATTGAAATCTTTAAATAAGAAAAATATTTATTATTTTTTAAACAAATAAATATTTAAATTATTTTTAATTTTTAATTATTTCAAAAAATAAAGATGTAAAATTAGATAAAATTATTTTCGATGTAAACAAGAACTTAAAAAAAATATAGCAAAAATTCTAAAGTGAAAGAAAAAAAAATTAAAAAATGAAAATTTACAAAAGATGAAATAATGAAGATTCTTCATGCAAGAAAATATTTTATATAGTTATATGACTTACTGATACTTTATCTTATTATTTCATCATGATATTTATAATCAAAATCATAGAAGAAGGACAAAAAGTAAGGAAGAAATAGTGCGTAGCATGAAAGTCGAAGTAGACAGACAGGTTCTTAGACAATGTGTAAAAAATATATCAACTTACATATAAAGTTTCCTTTATACTTGACATTCCTTTCGTTTTAGTTCTGCCAATCCACGTTCTTTGTATATTTGAACCAGAAAGCTTTCGACCGGTTATGCTTTATAATCATCAGATATTATGTAAGGAACTCAAGTCAACTTATTCTCCATAATTACTTTACTATTTTTGCTTTTTTCTTGATAATTTTTATTATCATTTTTATTAATATAAATTAAAAAACTTTATTGTTTATACAACCAAAAAATAATACGTTTTTTATATTTTATCTTATATATATATATATATATTTTTTTTTTTATTTAATCAATTTATCTTGTACAAACTTATTTTTCATTTTATATTAAAATTTCTAAACACTTAATTATCAAAACATTACCAAAACATTACCAAAAAAATGCCCAGATTTAAAAATAGAATAAAAAATGTTTAATTCTTCGATCAGTATATTCCTGAATTCAATTTCAATCGAATAATTTAAAGAATCTCTGCCTTTCCAAAACGTGATATCCATTGTAAAATCGAAAACAAAAGTCGATCGAAAATAACGAATAAGGAATGAGATGACTTTTCAAAGAAAGAAAGTGAAAGTAACTGTACGGGGGAGTGAATGAACGAACAAGTTATAGATCAGTAAAAGAAAACGAGAATTGGGGGGAGAGAAATTGTAGCAAGATCTTGAACGCATTTCTTAACAATGTTCGGCCACGAGGGACGAAAATTAACGGGCTTCCCGCGCAACCAAGCCAAGTGAAAGTGTCTGACAAGAAAGTTGAATAGATTTTTCGCAGTATATTCCCTAGAAATATCTAGTAGGTGCGTGGTCACCAGTTTGGAACGAAGTATAATCTCGTAAGAAACAAATTCGCGTCCACTCGATTCGTCTGTCTCTCCTTTCTCTCTCTCTCTCTCTCTCTCTCTCTCTCTCAAACTTTTTTCTTTCTTTCTCTGGCAATACCAGTGCATTCCTGTGAACTAAAAGAACTACAGAGGAGGATATAGCGATCCAGCTCGATGGCTCAACTTCTCCAACACGATTGTCGCAACGTGTATACTTCCTTTTCTCTTTTATACCATTTTTATAAAGCATTGCAATATTTAATACGCGAATTTTTCATGGAATTCGCTATTTTGGATCTTTAATATGGAGAATCATTTCAATTACAATACGTGATTTGATTTTCGCAAAATTTTAATAAGCTTTTGATAAAAGGATTGATCATTGAATTTTTTTTTTTAAATTTTACTGATTTATTTTTAGATCTTTAATAAAATCAATATTTATATTTTCAAATATTAATAAAACTTATCAAAATCTTCCTATAAAATTCCTAAATTTCCCCCTAATTCCTATAAAAAATCTAACCAATTACAATTCTAACATAATTTGCTCTTATTATATCACTTTTATTTCCTGTAATTATTGACACACTATTAACGCATTATTAAGAATTCCATTACTTAATTATAATTTTCTCTTTCATGTACTAAATTTATCGATTCTCTTTATCCTAATTATATTTATTATTACATAATACAATATTATTCTTTCTTGCAAAAATAAAATTCTCTAAAATCTCTTTCATTTTATCAATTATACTTATTCATTTTGTTATCCTGATCGTTTATTTTCGAATAATTCTTATAGAATCGAGAGTTACGTTAACATGAACGGTATTTCATATTCTTATATAAGAGAAATTATATGAGGGAATAAGCTTGTTAATATAAGTTTTCGCGACAGGTTAGAAGGGAGTTGCGATCAAACAACTATCGAATCACTGCATTTATTGGTATGATCGTAATTCGATTGTTCTTACTTTTCCATTTGCATTCGTTCGATATAACAGGTTTTCATCGAAGGATTGGTTTCAAACCGGTCCTGCATTTCTAGTTTACACGTTTTCTGAAAGCATTTCTATATATGTTTAATAATTAAGAACATTATACGAGATTAATCACAAAATTCATATGATACCAGAGAAAAGAGAAAGCGTTTCGATTTCGAGAAGTCGGGACGCATAATACTTGTATATATGTAATGCATCTTGTGTGACACACACGTAACTTGTTGCTTGACATTTAAGTTATCAGCAATCAAGTCATTATAAGCAATGAAAAAAAAGAAACGAAAAAAAAAAATATAGAAGATTCGTATATTAAATGTATGATTCAAACTACTATTTATCAAGAAGACTTCTGTAATATTTTAGATTGAAGAATGTATAGATTAATTCATCTATCAGTATCATATGTTGATTATTGTGATCGCTGTTGCACTGATTTTACTCGCTTATATTTGTATAATTTTATTTTTGATAATATAATTTTATTTTTCTTATTTTATAATTCTTATTACAGTTCAATTTTAAAAGCCTTGATACAAAAATTTATATTAATCAATATTTTCATAAACATAATCAATATTTTTTTTTAATTTATTTTTAAATTTCAAATATATATAATAAAAAATATATTTATTTTGCAGTTGTTGGCATGCGTCACTGCACTTGTTTCAGCTCAATTTAATCAAGATGACAATATACCACAAAAAGGAGGGTCATCTTTACGATCGACTCGTTTTCAAAGATTGCCATCTGCTCGACCAGCAGTCCCAACTGCACTTGCGAATCAACGAATTCGTCGACCAATTACATTTAGGTAGAATTAATAATGAGATTGATATATATTGATGATAAACTAATTTCAAGTAATTTCAGTTAAATTCTTGAAAAAATATCAATCAATATTAATTTTTATAACATAGTAGATATTAAATAATACATGAATAATATAATTTATTTTATTAAAAATATGAATATAAAAATAAATGCATAAATAGATAAATTTATATTCATAAATATTTCAAATCTTAATTTGTTTAACATTGCAGTAGTAACTATTGATAATTATTTTTTATCTATCTATAGATCTAGAATCGAAGATTCAATTGGAACAGGACCAGGCTCCTTTACACCGATTAAGTCATTGAAACCAAATTTATCCACTGGACCAGCATCACTTCCTCCACAAATTAAACCAGTGAACGAAGAACCAGATGAAGGAATTCGAATTCACGAATCACCTCGAGAACATGATAATCAGGATGATGATACCAATATAAGTGATGAGCCGTTGGATAGTCAAGAGGAAAGTGAAGAAAACATACCACGTACCGTTGCAAATCTTGGTTCTATATCAAAAACTTCTAATACTGTCTCAACAGCTCAATCGGGACAATATCGTCCTCTTTCGGGGACAGGAAGTCCAACCACTAGAGGAAACGGATTTCCAACAGCGCCATCAGCACCAGTTCAATATCGACCGACATCAAAACCGAACAAATCAAGAAAACCAATAGACGAATCATTTAAGCAACAAGTTAAATCACCTACAAAACCAGTGAAATCATCTCAACCTTACGACACTCGTGGAAAGAAGCCTGTTGCACAAGTTAGTATTCAAATCTGATAATATTTTTTGATAACATTGTTTAAGTTTCAATATTTAAAGGATTTCTTTTATTTTAATGGGATTAATTTAATTAAAAAAAAAATTTATAAAAAAATATATAATATATAATATATAGAAATAATATATAAAATAAATAAATAATATATAATAAAATAAATAATATATAAAATATATAAAAAAATAATTGAAATCTTATATCACTTATAATCTTATACACATACAAATCTTACATTAATGAAATATTTAAGCTTGAAATATTTAAAGCTTCCTTTCATTCTTATTGTATAAAAAATCGTATATGTATATTATTACATATTTCATTTTAATAATCGTATCATTAGTATTTAATTTGAATAATTAAGAAGTTTAAAAAAGGGAAAAATTATTAAAAATAATTATAATTAAATATAAAATTATAAGAACAAATAAAATAAATAAATAAAAATACATTAGCTACAATAAAAAGATACTATTTTTATGTAATGAAAACAATTTAAACTTTCAACAATCGTATATAATTTCTCTATGTAGTTTTCTAATATAATTTCTCTAATATAATTTTCTAAAAGGAGAAAATCCTTATCATTTTTTTATAATATCAAAAAAGAGTGAAATTGATTTAAAATGATTAGTTATTATTAATTGAAAATAAAAAATTCATCAATTAATTTAATTAAGTTAAAATTTATATTTAAAAATATTTTAATATCTTGTAATAGATTATAAGACGATATCGTAACGATAATTCGGATGGCTCAATCACATGGGGCTTTGAAAACGACGATGGATCATATAAAGAAGAAATAATCGGTATTGATTGTATCACCAGAGGTAAATATGGTTATATCGATCCAGATGGTATTCGTCGAGAATACACATATGAAACTGGAATCAAATGCGATGAAGAACAACGAGAAGAAGAAGAGAATGGATTTGTGGATTATCAAGAGAATAAATTAGTACTTCCTGATGGTAAAACTATAGATCTATCGAGCATGGGTAAGAAACAAGCTCGTAGACCTCGTTCTCTTCAAAGCAATTAGTAATATTTCAATAATTTTTTTTTTTGTCTTCATTTAAAACATCGAATCACATAAAAATCAATAAAAATTTTTCTCGTAATTATACATTTGTAAAAAAAAAAGTAGAGCTTTATTAAATAAAACATATAATATAAAATAATAAGTTATTAAGTTACCAATTATATATTATAATTAACAATTATATTTTACGAAAATAATGGCGGTCTAATTTGCAAAAGATATTTATAAAATAATTTATTTTTTTAAATATCAAGCTAATAATATACATTGTATCATGACCATTATTGCTATGCTTTTTATTTTGAAATTTATAATTAGTATATAATTATTTAGTTATAATTTATTTAGTATATAATTATATCATGTACATAATATATATGTTTAGGTACTTGTATTGAATTCGTCGAATAAAATGACAAAAATATTCTTAATATGCTGCATAATATCATAAACAAATTTACAAATATTATAAACAATATTACTTATATTTAATAATATATAATTTTGTATACAACATATATATATATATATATATATATATATATATATATAATAAGTAAAAATGACAAAATTAATTTAATTTGTTACATAATACATTCTATTATGATCTTTATATGAATAATTACAAATAAATTAAGATAACTATCCATGTATCATTCTAATCAGGAATGCAATGAAATTGCCATTATATAAAATGAAAAAATTAAATACAAAATGAGTACAAATATATTAATTAATTTTGCATATAGCATGAACACAATACTGATTAAATATATATTTCTTGTATATGTATACAAATATATATATATATACTATCTGTTAAAATATTGCTTTAATATTAACAGATTTTAAAAATTACATACATACATAATATATTATTATTATTAATATGAAAAATTCCAAAATACGCATTACATTATAATTGTATATATATCATTTTTATGGTACAAAGATATGAAATTATAGAATATTGTGCTTTTCTTCCATGAAATTACATAATATGTGTGTACACAAATATATAAGTTTTATAGATAAAAAATAATGAAATTTTCAAATCTATTGTGCCCTGTTATTATTTGTTAGTCTTTTGCATTAAAGCATTAAAATGAGAAAAATTTGAAAATTTATCAAATCTTCTCTATAAAAGCAATGATATGTTTTGCAATTGATCTATTTGTGTAGTTCATCAAAAAAATTATATATTTTACGATGAAATTAATATGTAGGACTTGTCATTGTAGACACTTGTTTCGGTGTGTGCTGTCCCTGTGCTAATGCACCATTTTTTATAGCTTGAAACTTGAGCCAGGCATCATAACCATAAACTACCATAGCACAATATCCGAAAAACTATAAAAAGATATAAAAATGTTAAAAAAACATCAAACAATTTAAGCAAACAATTCATCGAATTATAATTTATCTAAAATTAATTAATCATTCAAGATCACTTTAATTGCAATTTTTAAAACTGATTGAAAAGACTTACTGCTGCTACTCCGTAAGCTTCTATATATTTGGCATAATCAACTGCAAGAGAAGCAGCCAGCAAATAGAAAGCAGTCCAAATTATGCAAAATAAAAATTCCTACAAATAAAAATGTAATGTAATGTTATTTTTAAAACATTTTTAATTAATATTATTTTATACAATACAATAAATAAAATTTCATGCAAAAGTTAATAAATAAAAAACAAAAAATATAAAACAAAATTATAATATTAAAATGAAAAGTAATTATTAATATACCATATAGCATATTAAAATATAAAGTCCTAATTATTTATTATAAAATCAATTTTTTTTCTTTTCGTATAAAAACCACTGTTAACTTTTTAAGGGATTTAGTTCAAAAATTATTACTATTTGCCAAAAATTTTATATTATTATAATTATATGTAAAAAATTATTTTTATTTTTTTAACTTACAATTTTTAACCAAGGAATTTTCGAGAATTTTTCTATAATATGAAACAAATAAAAAACAAGTAATATTCCTGTGAACCAAAAACCTCCCATAGCCACAGTATTAAACCATTCTCCACGGCTAGTATGATAAGACGATACCGTAATACATATGAATCCCAAAAGATTTAGGATCTATAAAAAAAAAAGCATATAATTAGTAATTATATTTTTTATTTTTAATAAAATTAAATTAAATATTATTAAAAAAATTAAAAATTAGATTACATACTGTAAAAATTTTATTTTATATTTTCACTGTATTAACATCTACAATATAATTTCATAATACTAATTTCATACATACAATATACATAATTCATAGATATATATATAATATTTATAATACTGATAAATATATATATATAAGATCAAGACGAGCGTCAAAAAAACAAATGTTCATCTTTTTAACGTCCGTTATAAGACAAAAGAGGCCTACGAGCGTTATAAGACTTATACGTTTATGCCATGTTTATGTCTTAAAAAGCAATGCTTCTAGATCTTACAATATAATGCTATGACCATTAACTTACTACTTGAACGATTTTAAGAATTCCAGGCAATGTTCTTATATAAGATGAATCGAATCGAATATTTGGTTGTGTTGTAGTCGTACTCGTCGTTACAGTGGTAGTAGTAGTGTGTTGTGCTGGAAATCCTTGATCCATCGTAATTCTGAAAAAAATTAAATAATATTATTAAAAATTTTCCAAATACAAATCTTTTATTTAAATATTAAGCCACGAAATTTAAGTTTAAAATAATAAATTTCAAAAATTAAAATATATTTTTAAATTATATAAATATAAATATATCAATATATATGTATATATAAATATGATATACATACATATATACATATATTTTTTATCAGATATTTTATAAAATGAATGCAAAAAATACAAATATATTTAATCATCATTATATCTTGTTATATTAACATAGAACCCAATAATTATATAAATCTGTATTATTTTTTCTTACAAAAGAAATTCAATTTGTAATATTGTAATAAATATTATATTTTTCATATATAAGATTTGTCAATTTAATTTTTAATTTAAAAAAAAATGAATAAAAAAAACAAAAATAAATCAAAGAAGCGTGATGAATAAATTATAAATTATCATGCAGTTGAAAAAGGCGTAAACATCGTAAATAAAGATAAACATTGTGTTAAATTTGATTCTGGATTGAAACTATTTAATAAAATTATATCACATTTCAATAATATACTAAAACAATTACTTAATATCAGAATGAAGTCATCTCAACTGAAAATAGCAAATGACAGGATTTCTATATTATGAACAATGTATGAGAAATATATCAGATGAATCTACATGTCTCTATTCATAAATAAGTTAACTATAAGTACAATTTATATATATTTGTGGGCGGTGGATTTGATTTGGCGCGATATCGGTCACTCATCTATTACATATATAGGTTTAATATAGAGAATGCGATAATTAAAAAACATGTAACATGAAAAAAAATAAAATATGTAATATATTTACATATTTCAGTAAATATTTAAAAATATATTTTTTCATAAAAAAACATATTTCATAAAAAAAAATATTTTAAAAATTATAACAATAATCATAATATTTATTTCAAGTAAATCTGAATTATTAAATTAGCAAGCAAAAATATATAATTTTTTTTTCACTATTTTTTTTATCATTTTCACAATGATAATAAATTTCATTAATTCCATGTATTTTTGTCAATAACAAATAACAACAAAAATCTTATTTCTAGCACTTTATCTTATATTAATATAAAATAGCGGGAAGAAAATCATTTAATATTTTTAATACAAATATAATTAAAACACTATTATTGTAACACTATTGTAACACTGTTGTTTCACTGTTATATATCATGATTTTCTTATTTTACTTATTTTTCTTTAGTTTTTGGTTACTTATTCTTAGGAGATAAAATGAATTTCCATATATTATTTCCATGTCATGTGTATATATATATATATATATATATATATACACATATATGATGTGCAATTTACCTGATTTGACAGATTGATCTCTACACTGAATTATTTTTAAATTTCTTTTATTTATTGCATATAAATTTAAACTTTTTTGTCCTTGAAACACTAGAAAATAAAAATCTTGAAATCTTTTTCACCAAATCTGAATACATGTATAAATAACAGAAAAAAATAACACGCAACACGTTTCAAGCAAACAATATTACGAATGGATCTATGAAACTGGTAGGTATGTATATACAATTTGTACAATTTTACCCCACTTTATCATTTACTTAAAGTTCCCTCTAGTAGAAAAATTTATAAGTATTTAATAATCAACTAATAAGACGGTAAGTATTAATTTGATCGATAAATGAATTTTATTGTTATATAAATATAAATTTTATCTACTGTAAGTATAATATATATCAATATCAAGATTAGTAATTTTTAATAAATGTTAAAAATTTAATTATTAATTTTTATAATCTTTTCGTTTTTATACATATGGAAAAATAAATTATTAATTTGTAATATGAATTTATTATATTACAGAGTAATTTTATAAATTCATATTTATTAAAAATTATAAACTTAAAAAGAAAATATATTAATTATTAATTAATATAAAATAAAATAAAAAGATGTGATATCGATATTTATGGCGGATTTTCATAGAATATTAATATATAAACTTTCCATTTATAAATATGTATATCATATTATTACTATTAATATAAATCAAAGAACATATTTTGAATGGTGCTTTATATTTATTATTTATATAAATAGTTTATCAAATGAGGTTAGTTATATCTGGTGTATATAAACTAATTCAATTCAGTAAACGATTCTGAAACCGGGAGACTTAAATTTCTGCTCATACGATATTAGTAACGCATTGTACGGGAATTTAATATATTCAATGATTATTAATAAATTTAAATAAGAAGTTTTGAGAGATTATGTAGAACTTTTCGTTCTAATTATTGATTATTTTTTTATTTAAATATAATATATAAGGTTATGTTAATCTAAACAATTTTATCATCTCGTTATTCTACGATCATTTACAAAATAAATTGGTGATTTTGCTTTAATATTTTAATTGTAAGGAATGGTTTCTACTCGAGGACCAAAATTTAAATTTTGTGATGGTGAAAAAGTTCTTTGTTATGAACCTGATCCTACAAAAGCAAAAGTATTATATGACTCAAAGGTATATTATAAAAAATAAAAAATATATTATAAAAAACATCAAATAAAATTTTCATTCTTTCTTATTAATTCATATATCATTATAGGTACTTGATGTTATAGTTAACAAAGATCAAAGAGGACGTAAAGCTGTTGAATATTTAATACATTTCCAGGTAAATAATAAGTATTATCTTATTTTTACATTGATGTTTAATAAAAATAAAGTATATATATAATGATAGGGATGGAATTCTTCATGGGATCGTTGTGTAACAGAAGAATATGTATTAAAAGATACAGAAGAAAATCGTCAACTTCAACGAGATTTAGCACAAAAAGCACAATTACAATTGTACGTATATAAAATAAAATTTTATATAAAAAATAATTTAATATAGGAAAATTTTATTTAATAAAAATGATAAACAGGGGAGCATATTTATATCGAAGAGAACGTAAAAAAAGAAGCCATAAATTATCTGAACGTTTAAATGAAACTGAAAATCAAGAACCAAGAAGAAGAGCAAGAAGTGGTGGTAGTAGAGCAACATCAGCAACAACTGGATCATCAGAAGATGGTAGTTCAGGACAGCATGCTGATTATGATACTGAAGTATTATTTTTATTGTATATATATTTTATATATATATGTTAATATATAATAAATTTATTTATATTTAATCAAAATATTTATCACTTTGTTATTAAAGGAAGTTATTACTGAAGAAGATACAGAAAGTAGTTCAGATTATGTTGGTGAAACAAGTGATGATGAAGATAGTGGTGGTGGTAGTCAATCTGGTGCTAGTATAAAGCCAGGAATTGATCTTGATATAGGTACTACTTTAAGAAGAATTTTGGACCAAGATTACGATCTTATAACTAATAAAACTAAGGTATTATTATGATTTTTTAAAATTATAATATACACAATTATAATCAAAAAAGTTAATCTAAAATTTGAAAGTAATAAAAATTAATATGGATTTTAGCTAGCAGTTCTTCCTGCACAACCTACTGTTGCAAATATTTTAGAATCATGGGTTCAACACTTTACAACAACACAATTAACAAACATTCCTGAAAAACCGCAAAGAAACAAAGCAAATAATACAATAGAAAAAACAATTAATGAAATAAACATATGTAGAGAAGTCGCTGATGGATTACGTATATATTTCGATTTTACATTACATGATCTTCTCTTATATAGACAAGAACGAGAACAATATTGTAATTTAAAATCTTCTTTCTTATATGGTGAACATCCAACTCTTGTCAAAGAAGAACCAATTGAGTAAGTTTTAATAGTTATTATTTATTTATTTATTGAAAATTTTTAATTTTATAATTAGATGTTTTATGTATTTTATTATTTAAAATATTTTTAAAATAAAATAAAATATTTACTTATAAGTTTATTAAAATAAATTAATACAGTTAATAGTTTATTTTCATTATTAATGTAATTGTAATTTTAAAGGAATTCAGAAGTATTAGTTAAAGAAGAATACGAAGATACTGAGTATGCTCATTTACCACCTTTTCAAGAACATGATCAAGAAATAGATACTTCAAAAACAATAACAAATTCAAAGCGAAGATTGAGATCATACAGAGTGAGTTCTATTGATGAAAATAGGCAATTGAGATCATATGAAGAAATTAAACAAGATACAGGAAATTTATCGAGGTGAATTAAAATTTTTAATGAAGCAAATCATTTTAACATAATTATAAAATTGATAAAATTTTTTTTTTTAGTATTGCAAGTACAAGTTCTCGTTGTTCTAGCCCACGCGGTGTAACGTTGAGAATACCTGTTGTTACATCTGCACAAGTCAACGCTTTACTTCAACAATCAAACAAATGGAGATTAATGCCAGAATCATCAAAATCAGAAGGTCCTCCAAATCCTTCTACCTATTATGGTGCCATTCATTTAACGCGATTATTTGGTATGTAAAAAGAAATCGTTATCAAATATTTTAATAAATATATTATTATTAAATATTTATAGTTATAAATAAATAATTATAAATATGATTTCTATTAGTTAAATTACCAGATTTGCTGCAGTTAACGGATATACCACATAAAAAATTGAAGGTTCTTTTAAAATATTTGGATATGTTTCTTAGGTAATATCTTTTTTTTTTATTTTTTAAATATTTTTTGTTTTTTTTGTAACTAATAAAAATTAAATTTTTATAGCTATTTAGAAATGCATAGAGAATGGTTTGGAGAACAATTTTATATGCAAATGGAAAGTCAACTAATTCCTCAAACAAGTAATTCTACATAATAAACTGCATTCTTTCTCTATATCCATTTATAGATACAATTGTGTATACATTGTGGATATTACATGAGATTTACAGCAAGGATATATATTTGTGAATTCGATATAAGTGATAAACTTTTTTGTATCAATTATGAAAATACTTTTTTACATGCCTTCCGTAATGAAATTTTCCTTATAAATATTATATTATATTGTTATGTTTATGACATAAAAGAGACTGTGTGAAGTGGTAAAAGTGCAAACAAATAAAAAGAAATATAAAGATTAGAGATATACATAAAACAAAAAATTATATAATTTTTTTTTAATAAAATATTTTTGATAAAATGTCAATGTGTGATTTAAATGATTTAAAAAATATTTACTATCTCATTTATAATTATTTACATAAATATATATAATATTTATCATTAATTAATATAGAAAACTATAATATGAATATAATAATTTATGAGTAATTTAATTTAATAGTAAATAATTTTAATATAAATGTAATTTATATTCTTTCACGAATCGTGTTTTATATAGGAATAAAATTGCCTTTATTTTAGTTAATGAATTCAATGAAAATATAAGTTACAATTATAATTAATTATATTTATGCCTGATATAGAAAATAGCACTTTTATATACATATATATGTATGTAACAATATACATATATATATATATATATAAATTGTAAATGTATGCGCGCGCATACATGATATCTACATTGATATGTGTACAAATATATAGATCTTTATAGTTTTAAAAAGAAAGCAACTACAGAATCTATGACTATTTTTGGCAATGCAAATTATTTTATCTATCATCAGTCATTGTATTAGATACAATCGAAGAGTTTAATTTTATAGACGATTGCAACGCTTTTTAATCGTGCCAGTTTACATTGCATTTATTATTTGCAAATGTCCGGCGATTAATCGTTTTTGATCTCAGTCAAATTCGTCCGTTCTCAAAAGCGCTTACATTACATTAACAGTGTTACTGATAGATATCAGCTGTTCTAGTAAATAAAGAACAGCATTTCGATATGGATATCGTTGAAAATGTTACGAAAAATGAAGAAAACAGTAAAGAAAATGTACGTATATCAGAAGAAAAGAGCAATTGTTTATCCGAAATATGTGAAGGGAATGAAAATTGGTATTATATGCCGGATTCCATTCTTTTAAATATTTTTCAATATTTAACACCAAGAGAGTTGACAATTGCTGGAGAAGTATGTAAATCATGGTATAGAGTATCGCATGATGAATTTCTTTGGAAAGATCTGTTCTATCAAACATACAAAATAGATCCGGACATCGGCATTATGCCAGGTTAACTTTATATATTTATAAATATTCAACATTGCAAAGAGAATACAATCTTCATATCATTAAAAATAAAAATTAATACGCACTATGCATGTAATTAAAAATCACTATTGATATTAATATTCATTTATATTTTTTTTACTTTATATTTAACATTATATATTATTATATTTTAGGAAAAACTTCATGGTTAGGAGAATTTAAACGTTTAACATATCATACACCACTTTTAGAAACAGAAGTACTTAAAGAACATTCCCATCAAGTTTTACATGTTAGTTTTTCACATAATGGAAAAATGTTTGCTACTTGTTCAAAAGATGGATACATTTTTGTGAGTTATTTTTATTTTATAATTTTTTTTTAATTTTTATTTTTATGTTTAATAATATTAATTAATTGTTTCATAATATTAATTAAGTAATTTATAATTTATGAAATTTATTATAGGTTTGGGAAAGTCAATATCCTGTTAGTATAAAATATCTTCATGATATGAAAACATTTAGTTGGAAATATACACAATTTTCACAATTTAATTCTTCTGATACTTTGCTACTTGTTTCTGGTGTACATTTTGGAACTCCTCTCAGTACTTCGGGTGAAATAGCAGTATTTAGATTAGCACGTAAGAATATCAATGAATTTAATTAATATTTTAAAATAATAATAATAATAATTAACAATAATAAAAATATATTATCAATTGTTATTTAATTTCTTTTTGTTACAGCTGGCTTTGATCTTCAATGTAGAGTAATAAATAAACCTTATGATATATTTGGTACATGGTACAGTGAACATTACCTTATAAGTGGAAATTTATGTTGGTTAGCACACTTAGTTAGTACTAGTCTCTTATGGCTTAATAAGGCAAATCAAGAGACATCTAGTGAACATGTACCTATTATGACACAATTATTTAGGTATTTTACATGACAAGTAATTTTTAATATTATAAAAACAATTTTGCATAATATATTAATATTTAATAATAATAATAAATAATAAATATATTAATAATTATATGATTATTTTATATATTTTAGATTTTACAATGGTAATGCATCATCACTTCGAGCAATAATGATAGCTAACTGTTTAACACCTGAACAAAATGAATCTGAAGAACAACATAATCAGCCTTCATCTTCTAATATTAAAGAAGAAAGAGGAAATCCACCAAGTCATAAAGATATTTCATCTGCATCTTCTAGTGATACTTTACAAGAAGAACCTGTTGTTCTTCGTCATGCATCATCCAGATTACAGTAAGTTAATTAAGCAAAATATATTTCCTATTCATATATATTTTATTTAATTCAAAATATTATTGAAAACAATTGATATAATTAACTCAAGCATATACAAATAGATATAGTACATTGGAAGGGGGATTCATGAATTGGAAAAAACTTGGTGATGGTTTTGAATATGCTAATCCTATACAATATAATCAGGAATATAGACAAGTAGAAATGGAAAAAAAAGCTCAGGAAAATGACAAAAAAAATGAAAATTCTTTGTGGAATAAATCTGGAAGTAAGTGAAATTTATTATAATTTAGATTATTATTATATTCTTACTATACAAATATAATAAAATTTTAAATACAGAATCATCAGATATAAAAGAAAGTGAAGACGAATTATCAAATAATTGTGAAAAATATCTTATTTTTACAACTGGATCAAAAACTTATACGCCTCATCAAGTGGGTTTCAAGAGAATAAAAAATGTAAAATTTCCTGCACGATTAGATCCAGGACCATCATTACGTGAAAGAATAGAACAAAGAGAAAGAGAACGAGAAAGACAAAATTCTTATGCATTTATTACTAATTGGTTGGATTATGAATCTGTAGCTGATCAATTTGATAAAGTAGATCACTTAATTGATTTGCATGGACATATTATAGGGATGGGATTATCTCCAGATCATAGGTTGGTCATATTATTTTTTTTATATTATAAATATAAATTTATATTTTTACTTTTTATTATAAACAATATCTATGTTTGTTATTAGATATTTGTATGTAAATACAAGACCATGGCCCCGAGGTTACGTTATTACAAATCCATTACAACCTCCGCCAATAGCTCAAGAAATTGATATACATGTTATTGATTTAGTAACATTAAAGCAAGTTGGTACCATGCTAAGAGCTCATAAAGCATATACACCAAATAATGAATGCTTCTTTATTTTCCTTGATGTATGCAATGAATATGTAGCCAGGTAAATTTAATCAAACTAATTTTATATAAATAATTATTTCATTTTAATTTTCTAAGATTAAAATTATTATCAGTGGAGCTGAAGACAAACATGGTTATCTTTGGGACAGACATTATGGAGTATGTTTAGCTAAATTTCCTCATTCTGATGTTGTTAATTCTGTTGCTTTCAATCCATGTGATCCTGAAATGTTAGTCACAACTAGCGATGATTTTACTGTTAAAGTTTGGCGTAGTCGAGCTGTAGTTCGTTCATTAGGATTAAATGAAGATTCTTTCCGTAGAGGTATGGAAGTACGTAATAGGCGAAAATTTCGAAAAAGTAGTTGTAATATTGATTGACTAAAGACTATTAAATTTCCAATTTAAATTTCTATTTAAAATTTTAAAAAATATATTAAATTACTTTACTTATATGTTCTATTTAAATGTGTAATATATTAATATATGAATTCATAAATTCTATTTTTAATTAAATAGAATTTAATAATAGGATACATATGATTACACATTTATAAATTTAATCTATAGATATTTATTATTATCTATAGATATTAACAATTAAACTACACAAATGTTACATATATTTTATTTATAGAGTACTATCTTTAAAGAAAGAATGATTTTGCTGTACAATGATATTTATTATAATTGGAATATTTATATAATTTTTTTATAATCAATCAAAAAATTTTCACATAATTTTATTTATTTTATTCATTTTTTTTGTCATTTTATATGTACTTAAAGATAAATTATTCTTTCGAAAATAAGTTGTATATTTTTAAACATTTAAGAATAAATCTTTTCTAAATTTTTATAACAAATTTAATTGACAATATTTTATGTTTAGATAATAAGATAATATTTTCTGACTGATATTTTTAAATTAATTTAGAATAAGTTTTGATGATACACAAAATTTTTAATATACAATTAGCAATTGCTGAAATAATTCTCAAAATAAAAATGTAAGATTAAAATATTTTATAATTTTACTCAAATAAAAAAAAGACAAAAAATTAAAAATTTTTAATTATTTTATATACATATATATAAATAATGTATCATCAGAAGTATAATAAATAATTATTTATAAGTAATATATTTTAAATAATAAAATTTACTTTCAATTAAAATGAAATTAACATTTTAAAAAAAATTATATTAACAAAAATATTATATAAGAAAAAAAAATCAATTAAAAAAAGAATTGTTTTCTATGTTACAAATATTTAACATATATATTTACTTAAATATTATAATACAACAAGAGATATATATATAATAAATATAAAAGATAATCAAGAATCATTAAGATAGATCGTTAAGAAAGAGAAATTTACATTTAAAGTTATATGTAATTATTTCGTTAAGAATTTCAAATCTATAATAAACTTTAATACTTACAATATTTTTGTAATTTGTTTTAGAATAACTATTGAAAAGCTATAATATACATATTCTATATTTTGCGATATAGGAACTATAATTAATTCTATTATTATATATTAATTATATATTAATTCTATTTCAATGAAAAAATGTACATATTTTTTTATTTTTAAATTATTTAAAAATCACTAGCTATTGTTAATAAATTCATTTTTGACTATATATTATATAAATATTAAATCATGTAACATTAATTAACGATATAATAAATAAAAATCTATTTTGTTTTTTCTTTTACTTTCAATAATAATATGCCTTACTAATAGTCACTTATTAATAATAAGTATTACAAGTGTAACTTGCAATATTTATTAAAAAATATGAATGTTAATAATAACATAATAATAATATAATTATGCTAAAAATTAATGATTTCTTAATATTTCAAATTTCCTACAAAATAGTTACATGTTAATATATTATTATATCTAATTTCATAAGAAATTATATTTAAAAAAATCACATACCTAATTTTCACATTTTTTTTCTACAGCATTAATTCATTTATTTTTCCATTTAAAGAAATTATTTATATTATTAAAATATTTATGTAGATACATTTACCATTGATTCTATAAAAAATATATAAAAAATTTTAAATACTTTTTTCATATTATTTAATTTATATATATATTTTTATCATGATATAATTTTATTTAATAAAATTACCTGGAGCAGGAGACATTTCTTCCTTAGATGTTTCTGCATTACGTTGTAGAATTTTTTTATGAGCATCTTTATGACCATGACAATGTTCACATTCATCATCGCTATCTTCAGAACTACTTTCACAGAAACTTCTTGGTTTTTCATAAATACAACAACCTGTACAATAACATATGAATTATATTTATATATTTGTGAATAAATATAATTATTTTTTGTTTATATTTTGTACATTATGATAAATTGTACATTATGATAAATTGAATGAAATAAATATTTACATTTAGATTTCTTTTTATTCATATGTTCATTATCTACAGTACCCTGAGTCCATTGAACCTTCTTATTTGATCTTGGTTTTCTAAGACATAATCGAACAGTAGGAACATCCTAAAAAAATGAAAACATGTAAAATATTTTCTATCTTTTATATTTATATATATGATATACATGATAAATTGTAAATTTATAATAAAAATGTAGATAGATATATTTCAGAAGATTACTTGTTTTAAATGGATATATTTGTTTATGTTAAAAAATTAATATATAGTTACATTAAAAATATATAAGAATATTATTAAAGTTTATATTTAAAAATTCAAATTATTAAATTATTATATTAAATATTAGAATTTAAAATTTTCTTTATATCTTCTTTAAATAATAGCCACTTTTTTATTGCACAATCTTGATTTTCTTTAAAGCTTCTATTTTATCATCAGTATAGTTTAAAATATTTTTTAATATTTCTGTAGTATGTTGACCCATTACAGGAGGTGCAAATCGAACTTTATTTGTAGAATAACTATAAGTTACAGCAGGACCAACAACTTTAATTCTTTTTCCTGTATAATGCTCCATTTCTTGTACCATTTTCATATAGTTTATATGAGGATCTTCAAAAACCTATAAAATTTTTTGTATAAAGACTATTTTTAAACTATTTAACATTAATATTTATAATTTTGTACCTGTTTTATTGTATTTATTGGTCCATATGGGAATGAAGCACCTTCAAAAACAATTGCCCATTCTTTATTAGTTTTTGTTTCAAATTTTTTTCTGAGAATAGATAATAATTCATCTCTATTTTCCACTCTAGTCTTATTATTTTTGTATTTATCTATTTTAGATAATTCTGTTAAATGCATTCTTTTAAGTAAATCTAAAAATTGTGTATCACTTCCAGTTCCTACAGTCATATAACCATCTTTTGTATGAAAAGCTTCATAAGGTACAATACTTTCATGTTCTGAACCCCAACGTACTGCTTCTTTATTAGCATTTAAAAAATTTGATCCTATATTTATTAAACTAGCAACTTGTGTTGCCAATAAATTACATTGAATCCATTGTCCTTTCTTAGTTGTCATTCTTTGATATAATGCAGCTAATATAGCACCATGAGCATATAAACCTGTTGCTAAATCAGTTACTGCTATTCCAACTTTACATGGTGGACCATTTTTTGAACCTGTTATATGTAACAAACCTCCTATAGAAGCAGCAATTACATCATATCCTGGTCTATTTGCATAAGGTCCTTTATATCCATAACCAGTCAAAGAACAATATATTAAATGAGGTGCTACTTTGGAAATATCTTCATATCCTAAACCCATTTTTTTTAATTTCCCTGGTACATAATTTTCTACTAATACATCAGATTTTTTTGCTAACTCATAAATTATATCTTTGCCTTTTTTTAAATCGATACATATACTTTTTTTATTTCTATTAACACTAAGAAAATAAGTTGCTTCTTCAGTTCCTTTTATAAATGGTGGACCCCATTTTCGTGCTTCATCCCCACTATCTGGTTTTTCAATTTTTAAGATTTCAGCACCAAGATCTCCAAGAATCATGGTACAATAAGGTCCGGCAATAATTCGAGTCAAATCCAAAACACGAATTCCGGATAAAGGTGATTTATCATCTTTGATATTTGTACATGTATATCTTCGATTTTTTTTTGTATATATGTTTAGTAAATGTTTTGTCCTTATCCATTTTGAAACAAATAATGTGTACATTGTATATTTTTGATAAAGAATAGTTGTTTTTATAAAAAATATTTATTATTCACAATTATAAATATAAATATCATTTCACTAAATTAATAACTAAAATCACCATAAAATTACACAATGATATTGTTAGAATAACACTTTGCACTATTAACACTTGTATTATATCTTTTATATCATAAAAAGTATAAATTATTATGTCAAAATAATGACGCAATCATGATAAAACTAAGCATACCTGAGATGCAGAATCTGTAACATCTGTTTCTGTTTGTATTTGAGTAGCTGATTGCTCAGATGTTACCGATCTCTCCATTTGGAATATATTTTCCACAAAAATGCAAAATAAATAAACAATTTAATATGATTCAATATTGCGGTTATTTCTTGCTGTCATCATTCACAATTGATGAAAAGGACGCCATATTTAAAATTAATAAAGAACTGTTTATTCTTTATATTATATTAGAGAGTAGAAAAATGTTTTTTAATTCATGTATCATAAACAATATTATCATTATTACATATATTAATCTGTATTACATTTTATTTATATTTATTCATTCATAAAATTATAATTCAAAACACTAAAAATGCTCTTAAACATTATATTAAATTCGGAAGTATAACAAAATAATTTATTATGATAAATTATTTATCATTAAATTTAATTGGTTTTAAATATGTATTATAAATATCAACATATATTTTTTTTTAATATATTTAAATTATTTTCAATAGATATGTCACTTGTAATTATTGTCCGTAAAGACGTACAATTTGCTAAACTGCCGTAAAGTGAATTCTGTATTTCAATGCATTTGTACGATTTCGTATAAATATTTAAGGCCTAATGCTCAGTTTTACACAAAAATATATTTCAAAGTTAATACGGGCAATTAAGGTCTTTTTGATTAATTTAATATTTTTTTAGACTCTATAAATATGGAGGTAAAGTTTAATTTTAATCAAAAGAGGTTATATGATTATTTAAATTTCGTTAAATTTTAGTATATATTATGAGTTTAATAATTTTTCTTAATTTTTTAGCCAATTACTAAAGTTCCTTTGCCATTAGAACCCATAAAATCAAATCAGGTAGAAGACAGAAGATTGTGGGTAGGCAATTTAGATTTAAGAATTAATGAGTAAGTATTTACCTCAGATTAATGAATAAATTATACTAATATAATTCTTTAGTATTAGAAAACCACGTAATTTCTTTGTGTAATAAAAAAATCTGAAAAAACTAACTCTTTATCTGTTAACTGGTACCAACTCCTAAAACTCGTCCAAAAACATGGAACAATTGAAAAGTTCGACCTTCTATTTCATCGATCAGGCCCACAAGCTGGTCAACCTAGAGGTTATGCATTTGTTACGTATAAAACTATTCAAGATGCTAAAGCAGCTAAAGATGCTTTACATAATTTAAAAGTGGGAGCAAAAAATATTATTGTCAGATGGGCTCATAGTGTAACAGAGGTAATAATTAAAATAATAATGTTAAATATTAATATTTTTTTTTGTTAAAAATCTTTAAACATATTAATTAAACAAAAATTTGTTTATTATATTTAATTTTTAAATTAGTAAATTAATATGTATTTATCTTATTTAAGTCTGATATGGATAAGCCAAAGCCAAAAATAGATATACCTGCTCTAGCTGGAGCTAAAAAAGAAGATAAAAGAATAAGGTAAATTTTAATTTATAAATATATAATAATAAAAATAATTTTGAATGATTATTATTAAATATTACTAATTATTTTAATAGTCGTGAAACAGCAATTCAAGCTATAGAAGCAAAATTGAAATTAATGAAAGAATCAGAAGAGGAATTTGAATTAAATAAACCTTTAAATGGATCACCAATAATACATTTATATCAAAAACCAGAAAATCCAAAACCGTCCACATCTACTCGTTATCATAATCGAAGTAATTATTATCACAATAATAAGCCATATAATCGTCATAAACCAAGAAGATAATTTAAAAATTGTTTTTTTTTTTTAATTTATAGTGTTACAATTAAAAATAATCATTTCATTTATATTATCAATGTTTGTTCCATGACTATAGTTGGAATATTTATATTATTTATATATTCTATTTAAGTAATATCTCTGTATTATGTCAATTTTTTTATTATAAAATCTTATTTTTTAGTTAGTTTTTTAAGTCTTGTTTTCTACTGTCAACATGATTCCTAAGGTGCAACTGCACATTAGATACACAAGTATCTTAATTCACTCAACAACAATATTTAATATGTACATTAATGTACATGTATTTTCATAATCTATAATATCTTTTTATAATAAACAAATATATACTTTAATATATATTTTATTGTAATGTAAAATATGATAATTTTTTATTTAAAATTAAATATCTAAAAATAAAAAGATATTAATATAAAACTTAAATAAAAGTGATATTAAATTTTTACTACAATTAGTTTTATTTTAATCATAATACATAATCATAATAATTACATAAACAAACAAAATTATGGTTCTTTTAAACTTTTTTTATATTTTCCACGCATATGATATGGTAAAGGTACTACAGCAGGACATGGTATTTGGCCAGATATTACACATATGCAACTTCTATGACAACCAACACCAAAATTAGCAGAATTATCTTTCTTTTCTTGCATTATATTTTCTTGCTGCAGAATATACTTTGTTTTACCAATTACGATTTGAAGATGAAGTAATATATCTTCTTTAGATTTACTATCTAAATCAATTAACATAGTATTTCCATTTTCTGTAAAAAATTGAAAAAGTATTCTTTTTGATATATCATTTTATTAATTATTAATATTATCTTATTATTTTATTTAATATTTTTTATATAAATCTATATATATATATATATATATATATATTTTTATAATTCATAGATTTGAAAAAAATTGAAAATCATAAACTCAAAATCATATAAATATAAATGGAATTATTCAAGATTGCATAAAAAAAGAAAAATTAAATTTTAATTATTACATAAAAAAATATATAATATATAATATTTTTATTTTATATAATATTTAAAAAAAAAAATTACATACCATAATAACATTTAATAAAAGGTGTTGGTGTCATATTTTTGAAAGTGACAATTTGCACATTTGGATTTTTATATTGAATTTGTGGTAAATTCCAAAATATGAAATCCCTAAATAAAAATCATATTAATTATAAGTATATATTATATATATATTATATATATCAATTATATTTTTAAGTATTTTTTTAATAAAACCTATTTTATATATGTAAAATATAAAAAATCGAATAAGACATAAAAATAATATAAAATAAATATACCTGGTGCCTTTATGATGTTCTCCATATGTATTATAATTAACAGAAAATATTTGTATTTCGTCTTTTAAAATTAATTTACCAGCTTTTAAATAATTTAATGTTCTTCGTATTGGTGCTTGACCAATCATAAATGGCATTTTGATTATTTTTTAAATTAAAAATTGTTTGAAATAACCTGATTCTTTGTTACTTTTTATGCACATATATGTATACTTAACGATCTATAAAATAAAATATTTTTATCGATAAATATTAATTGTTTAAATGATTCATTATTAATTTAAATATTAATATTAAATATTTTTAATAAATTTAAAATATTTTTAATTTTAACAATGAAATTAATAATTTTTACTATTCTAATACAATAATATTTCTAATTTCATATTTAAATCAAATTTACATATACTGTAATATATATTTTTAAAAATATTTTTGGTTATGTTAATATTTAAGTAAGATTTATTACGCCACCGTTAATGCAGTCAAAGAACTGAAATTACGGTGCATTTGCCACCGGTATCACATGAGATATTTTCTTCCTTTCTCTTTTGAAATATTTTATCATTAGTTGTAAAGTCCAGCTGCTTTAACAGAAATTGAGTAATTATTAATAATAATTAGAGTGAGTTATCATTTAATGTTTATTTATACATTATAATTTTATAATATTGTAATATAAATAATAATTTCAGAAATTAAATATATAATTTTTTAATTAATATTTGTTACTTGAATATTTTGTTTATTTTTAATTTTTGGTATTATTAACCATATGTTTCTTTATAAAAATTTTATTACATATTGCTTAATTTTAAAAATAGGATAAGAAAGAAGAGGAAAAATAAGAAGAATAGATCAATATGACTACAATGATGACTGCCAAACAAATTCGGCAAGCTTATATAGATTTTTTTAAAAATAAAGACCATGAATATGTGCATTCTAGTTCTACAATACCACATGATGATCCAACTTTATTATTTACAAATGCTGGAATGAATCAAGTATTAACAAAATTATTATTGTTTTTAGTTATATAAAATATAATTTTTATTCATTATTTTTATTTGTTTTAGTTTAAACCAATATTTTTAGGAATAGTGGAGCCTAATAGTGATATGGCAAAATTAGTGAGAGCTGTTAATAGTCAAAAATGTATTAGAGCTGGAGGAAAACATAATGATCTAGATGATGTTGGAAAAGATGTTTATCATCATACTTTTTTTGAAATGATGGGCAATTGGTCTTTTGGAGATTATTTTAAAGTAATATATTAATTATATAATGCGTAATTTATTTCAAAATTATTATTATTTCTATATTTACAAACTATTATTTAATTTTTATATTTACAATTGATTCTATAGAAAGAGATTTGTACCTGGGCTTGGGAATTTTTAACTGTTAAATTAAAATTATCATCAGATCGATTATATGTAACTTATTTTGGAGGAGATGAAAAAAATAATTTAAAACCTGATGAAGAATGCAAACAAATTTGGCTTTCTTTAGGGTATATTTTATATTTTATTTATTATATATATATATAATATTATATTTAATTTTTATTATGTTAAAATCATTATAAATAATTTTATTTTCTTTCTTAGTTTATCTCCTACACATATATTACCAGGAAATATGAAAGATAATTTTTGGGAAATGGGTGAAACAGGTCCATGTGGACCTTCTAGTGAAATCCATTATGATCGCATTGGTAATAGAGAAGCAGCTCATTTAGTAAATCAGGATAATCCAGATGTTTTAGAAATTTGGAATCTTGTATTTATACAATTTAATAGGTCAGTAATTTTTATAATATATAAAATAAATTCTAATTCTTTAATGTTACACATTATTTTAGAGAAAATGATGGAAATTTGAAATTATTACCAAAGAAACACATTGATTGTGGTCTAGGTTTAGAAAGATTAGTATCAATTATACAGAATAAATCTGCAAATTATGATACTGATTTATTTATGCCACTTTTTGATGCAATACAAAAAGGAACAAAAGCACCATCTTATCAAGGGAAGGTTGGTAAGGAAGACAAAAATGGGATAGATATGGCATATAGAGTTTTGGCTGATCATGCAAGAACTATTACAATTGCTCTTGCAGATGGGGGTATACCTGACAATACTGGTAGAGGGTAAATTTATTATATTTATTTATTTATATTTTCTAATCTATATATATTAATTGAATTTTAATCAATTTATTACTTAATTATTATTATTATAATTTATTATTTATTATTTAATATTAATAAAATTTCAGATATGTATTAAGAAGGATTTTGAGGCGTGCTGTACGTTATGCAATTGAAAAATTAAATGCTAAACCTGGATTTTTTGGATCATTGGTGAATGTTGTGGTAGATCTTCTTGGTAAATTTTTTTATTTTAATTTTTAAATTTTATATATCATTTATGAAATAATTATTTATTAAAAATTTTTTTATTATAAAAATGTAGGTGATGTTTTCCCAGAAGTAACAAAAGATCCACAACATATAATTGATATTATTAATGAAGAAGAAACTCAATTTCTTAAAACTTTATCACGCGGTCGTAATTTATTAAATCGTACCATAGTAAAATTAGAATCATCAAATATTCTTCCGGGTGACGTTGCATGGCGTTTGTATGATACATATGGTTTTCCTTTTGATTTAACACAACTTATGGTTGAAGAGAAGGGCTTAAAAGTAGATATAATTGGCTATGAAGAAGCAAAAAAACAAGCACAGGTATTATAAGAAATATTTTATATTAGCTATACATTAATTAATTTCAAAATTTAATTTTTATAAAATTATAAAAATTATTTAATATCTCAGCTTATTTCTCAAAGTAAAAGTGGTGAAGTAGATGATCAAATTAATTTGGATGTTCATGCAATTACTGAATTACAAAATAAAAAAATTAAACCTACAAATGATATACCAAAATATAATTACAAAGTTATAAATAATAAAATATATGAAGAGTACGAATTTGCTCCATGTTTTAGTACTGTAATTGCTCTTAGACGTGCTAAAACTTTTGTCGATGAAGTATCATCAGGAGAAGAAGTTGGAATTTTGTTAGATCAAACTAATTTCTATGCAGAACAAGGTGGACAAATATATGATGAAGGATTTTTAACGAAAATCGATGATGAAGTAAATAAATAACATTCTTATAAATTTACAATATACTTAAATACAAATAATAATTCTTATTTTTCAAGGATACTGAAATTCATGTAAAAAATGTTCAAGTCAGAGGTGGTTATGTTCTACATATTGGAATTGTCATTCAAGGAAAATTGAAAAAAAATGATAAAGTATTTTCTAACATAGATACTACACGAAGAAGACTTCTGATGAGCAATCATACTGCAACTCATGTTCTTAATTATGCTCTTCGTGAAATATTAGGTACAGAAGTGGATCAGAAAGGTTCTTTAGTTGCACCTGATCGCTTACGTTTTGATTTCACAAATAAAGGTTTGTCAAAAATAATTATGAAAATATATTTAAAAATAATATAATTTAAAAATAATAATTTAAAAATATTTCGAAATCTATATTTTAAATATATTTTTATAGGAGCGATGATTACAGAACAAATAAGAAAGGTAGAAGAAATAACGAATAATATAATAAATGAAAATAAAATAGTTTATGCTAAAGAATGTAATTTAGGACTAGCAAAAACGATTCAAGGTTTACGTGCTATGTTTGAAGAAACTTATCCTGATCCTGTAAGAGTTGTTAGTATAGGTATACCAGTTGAAGATTTAGAAAAAAATCCTTTAAGTTCTGGCGCATTAAAAACTAGTGTAGAATTTTGCGGTGGAACGTAAATATTTTAATTTATTTACTAACAAATAATACAATCTATAAACATTTTTTAATATCAATTTTCTTTTATAGACATTTACATTATACAGGACATATTAGAAATTTTATTATAGTTAGTGAAGAAGCTATCGCTAAAGGTATTAGACGTATAGTAGCTTTAACTGGTCCTGAAGCAATGAAAGCTCAAAAAAAGACATCAATATTACAAAATTATTTAGATGAACTTCAAATATCTATTGAAGCTGATAAAAATGGTATAAATACAAAAGAACATATAAAAAAAATAGTTGAATTAACAGATGATGTTTCACATGCTATTATTTCAAGTTGGAAGAAGGTATATTTTATTTATATTTGTATTTTTGATATATGTATATTTAATATATATATATTGCATTAAAAATATTCATTTAAACATAGGATAAAATACGTAAAATATTAAAAGATTTAAAAAAGTTACTTGACGATAAAGAGCGTGCAATCAAAACTGCGATAGCCAATGTAGTTTTAGACAATATTCAACAAATAATTCAACAAAATATTGGATGTTTAGTATTAGTCGAAGTATTACAAGCATATAGTAATACAAAAGCTTTAGATTCTGCTCTTAAAAAAATAAGAACTATATCGCCAGAGACAAGTGCATTACTCATAAGTATTGATCCTAATGCGAAAAAGATTTTTGCACTTAGTTCAGTTTCTAAGGTAAGACAAAATAGGATATGCAATCAAATAAACTATTTAAATAAAAATGAAAATAATATTTTTATCATTATATTTTATATGTAATAGTCTGCTGTAAGTAAAGGATTAAAAGCAAATGAATGGATTCAAGAAATTGTTCCACTTATGGAAGGAAAAGGAGGTGGAAAATCTGAATCTGCTCAGGCTTCGGGTACCAATATATCATGTGTAACAAGATTAATATATACAGCTAAAAATTTTGCTAATTCAAAGCTTGAACTAGCAGGTAGAAATTAATCTATTATATATAAATATAAATATGTTATAATGGAAAACTATCTTTGAATCTAAAATATTTTCAGAAAATATAAGTGAAAATCATAATCAATTGAAAGGTGATGAGAAATTTATATATTTTAAAACTCTAAAAGATAAATTAGTACTTTCTGGTGATATTGGAAGTATTAAATATTATCGTATCCAAATAGTTGCTAAATATAACAATATAGAATTGATTACAGTACCACATAAAAATAATATATTCAAAGGTATTAAATTACAAGGAAATGATTTTGAATTGTTTGATAGTAATGCAATTGCTTTTTATTTATCAACTGATCAATTCAAATGTTCAAACAATCCTTTTACATTTAGTGAAGTTTTACAATGGTTAAGTTATGCAGATAATCACATTTTACCAGCAGTACTTGGATGGGTTGTGCCATGTCTTTCAAAAAATATTCCAAACAATATCAAAACAAATATTAAGACATCTAAAGAAGATGTTCTTTCTTCTTTACAGAAATTAAATAATATATTATTAACAAAAACTTATTTAGTTGGAGAAAGAATTAGTCTTGCAGATATTAGTGTTTTTACTACTTTAATGCCATTATATGAATATGTTTTAGATTCAGAATATAGAAAACAATATACGAATTTAAATAGATGGTTTTTTACTATCTTAAATCAATCTCAAGTAATTAGTGTGATAAAAAAATTTAACATATGTGAAAAAGTTAAAATAGTTAAATGTTAAATATTGTTCATATAATTAGTTTTTATAAATGTTTTTTATTGAAAAATTATTATAAATATATAATATAATTAATATATATATTATGTAAAATCTTCATATTGTATTATGTTTTTTCCATTTTTTTTTCCTTCTTTGTCATATAGTATTCTTATCTCCTTTAATAAGATAGATATATTTGTACCCATTTTAGCAGAAATTGGAATAATTGGTAAATGAATTTTTTGTTTTAGTATTTCTAATTTTTTCTATAAATATATAATTCATTATATCAACATTTAATTTTTAAGTAATATTAATTAATGAAAATTATTTTACCATTGTTCCTGGCAAATCCATTTTATTTGCTGCAATAAGAAATAATCTTTTGTTCAGTTCTACATTAAATTCTGTGATTTCATATTTTAAAATTTCAAAATCTCTCCATGGTTCATCAGACGTAATATCAAGAATAAATAATAAAATTTTACAACGTTCTATATGTTTAAGAAATTGTATACCGAGACCTTTATTTTTATGAGACTCAGGTATAAGACCCGGCAAATCAGCAACTTAAAAATTAATAAATCTATTAAAAATTTAAATAAAATATTAACTAATAGATTATAGCACATTATTAACCTGCAATTTGTTCATGATCATCATATAATACCATTCCCAAGTGAGGTTTTAATGTCGTAAACGGATATGCTGCAATTTTTGGTCTAGCTCTAGATATTGTTCTTAACAATGTACTTTTACCTGCATTTGGAAATCCAATCTGATAAAAAAGATTAATATAATAATATTGTTAATTTTTAATTAAATTAAAATCAATAAGAATATTAATATAGTCTTTTTAATTAGTTTCTAATTACTCACTAATCCTACATGTGCCATGCTACTTATTTCTAATACATATTGTAAATCTTCTCCATTTGCACCATATTCACTTATACATGGTACTTGATATACATCTGATTTAAAAAATGCATTTCCATGACCACCAGCACCACCTCGTGCAGCAATAAACATCATTCCTTTTTGATTTAAATCAGCTATTATATGTCCTTCTATATTACGTACTATAGTACCTATAGGAACATGTATTACAGTATGTTCTGCATTTTTTCCAAAGCAGTTTTTATTATGGCCATTTTCACCATTTTCAGCTTTGAAAACACTAGTTAAGTGAGAGAGATCTCTAACATCAAATGCTGCCTGTAAATTTTTAACATATAATATATAAATTAAATATAATATTGTATACATAATTTAAATATAAAAATTTAATACTATTTTGATTTTTTTAAACAAATTGTTTATTTTTACCTGAAAAATGACATGCCCACCATTTCCACCATCTCCACCATCTGGTCCAGCATTTTCATTTACCCACAATTGCAAAAATGATATATTTCCATCTCCACCTTTTCCACCAATTGTTCTTACCTAAATTTTGATATAAATAAATATTTGATATAAATTAATATATAGATATTAGATAAAAAATTAAAGAAAATTATTTAAATTCATACTTTCTTCAAATCAACAATAGTCTTTTCTGTATCACTGTTTGCTTTTGGTTTTATTGTACGTAAAGGTTTGGAAATATTTTCTTGTTCTTTAAATCCTTTACAAAATGACTTAAATATATTTTTGTTTATATTCTTATGTCTTTGAATATTTATTATGATATTATACATAATATTTTGTTTCCAAGCAGAATTATATATAATTACATTTTTTATTTGATGAATATAATACATCTGAAAATAATGTTAAAACATTTAGATTTTTAAATGGAAATAAATAATAGTTTATTAAATTATAAATTATATTGAGTTGTACTTTTTTTAATATAATATATAACATTATTATCTTGAGACTGATACATTTAAATTATTTTCCAAAATATTTGCTATTAAATTTTCATGTATATTAATAACTCTTTTTCTATATAAAGGTAAGCAATTAGATCTATAACTTATTCTATAAGTTCTTTTTTCTATTTTTTCTGAAGATGCATAAGATCTTATAAAAGCAACATTATTTATAATACATCCTGCATGATTATATAATAACACATAAAATTTAATGGAATCAAATTTTTCATTAATGACAAAAGTTATATCAAATGTATATGTGTGAGTATCTATATTAATGCCATTTGTTACAATGTCATTTATATCTGTTATGTTATTTACAATATCATTTATATCTGTCCATGAAAAATTATCATTACTACATGATAGAATATTTATTTTTTTTTTGGGAGCAATATTGTTAAGATTTGGTGATTCAGATTTTATAAATATATGAGTTAAAGCTCCAATAGAATGAAACTGTTTATTTAAACTACGATATCCAGTTACTATATAATTTTGGAAAGATAACCATATAAATGGTTCAATTGCTGTTAATATAAAATTTCCATGTGCTGCCATTTCTGTAATTTTCCATGAATCATTCCAACGTCTTGGTGGATTGTCAATAGATGTACCACCTTGACCTTTACATAAAGTAACTAATACTTGACCATTATTTTTTAATGATTCTGATATACTTATAAAAAATTGTTTTAATAATTCTCTATTTTTTTCTATTCGCATTTTACCACCAACATGAGGAAAATTAAAAATAATTTTATCAAATAATTCTGTTCTTAATATTGGATGTTCTTTTAAATTTGTTGCATCAACTCCTAATAATACACGAATTCCTAAAAAGAAAAGCATAGAATTTTTTATAAACTTAATTATTAAAAAAGAATTATTAAATAAAAATTTAAATTTTTTATTAAAATACTAACCATAATTTTTTAGATATTCTATGTTTTTCTTTCCAAAATTTTGATCAACATTAGTCTCATAACATGTTGCAGTAATATCAATCTTTAAATTGAGATGAAACAATGCCAGAGAAAATGAAAAATTACCTTCTCCAACTAAGAGTACGCGATCACTTTCATTGAATATAGAAACTTTCATTTCAATAAATCGAAATATTGCAATATAAATGCTTTAAATTATTATTATTAAAATAATAAATTTATTAAAATACTATTATAAAGTATTAATCTTTTATATTAATCTTTTATTAATCTTTAAGTATTAAATAACTAACCTTAAAATAAATGATGCACCTTAAAATATATGAATGCACGTTGTACATTTCAAACACGTACTTAAATTATCAACAAGTACAAATTATCATAAAAATTTGATTTAATAATATAAAGATATATATTATTAAAAAAAATATTGAAATTTAATCAAATGTTTTTAATTTAATCAAATTCTATTTTATTCAATATTCTATTTTATTTATATAATTAGATTTTTATGCATAGTATTTGTAGAAAAATATTAAAGATATTACTCCATAATTTTTTAAATAAAATAAAATTATTAAGAATTAATTACATTCATATTTTTTCATTAATTTCTTTCATTAATTTGTAAATTTTCTCATGTTTTAAAACTATAAAAATAATTGTGTATATATAAAATAATGTATATGTAAAAAAATTTTTTTTTCATTTAACGAAAAAAAATAAAATATATATGTATCAGATATTAATAATTTAACAATATAGAATTTATAGAAAATATATTACATACAAAATAATTATTTTATAGACATTATTTACATTACATTAATATAAAATAAAATATTTTCATAAAAATCAATGAAATATTTATTCATTAATTTTTAATATTTTTATTTATATATATATATGTTATTCATATAATTTTTTTTTTAATTTTAAAAGATTAATATATATACATATACATACATATAGAATTCTTATAGAACGATTAATAGTACAGAAGGAATGATTCTATATAAAAAAATAGATCAAAAATATAATATAAAATTTGAGACTTCATTTTCAAATAAAGCAGGTTTCAAAATTTTTCAAATAGAAATAAATAATTTCTGATGGGATATAAATTTATAATAAATGGTAATATATAAAGTAAAATTTACTATTTGATAATTATTGAATTATCGATGAAAAAATAAAAAAAAAATGTAGAATAAAATTTTATTGCTTAAGTCTTTTTTTTGCAAAAAAAAAGAAATTGAATATATCAATATTATGTATGTATATATATATATATATATATATATATTATTCTATAATTGAATACAATCAAATAATAATATAATCTTCAAATTTTCAAATTCAATTTTCGAAAATTATGATATATATGATATTTATATGAAAAAAAATTTATTAATATATTTTTTGTTTATTTTCCTATCGATAATTTTTTTTATTCATTGTTTATTTATTCATTATCAAATAGTAAATTTCACTTATAAAATTTTTCAAACTTTATGTATTTAAAAAAGAAGCTCAAAAAAATTTTAAAATATATAATTATTTAAATATTTTATATAATATATATAATTTTATATAATATATATTTTCAATTTATTTTTTCATCATAGAATCATTTCCTGCACAGTACTATCATATGAGATATTCTTTATAAATACGTACGTATAAAAAATATTTTTAAGTTTTTTTTTTTAAATTTATTTATTTCAGATTATAAAAAGAAATTTAAAACAAATAAGTATATATATTATAATCATATATCTCAATCTCAATATATATAAATATATATAAATATTTTCTCTATCTCAATAATTTGAATAAAAAAGAAAAAATAATTGATAAAATATTATTAATAATATTTATAATAATATTTAATAATTGCAGAAACAAAAAATCTGATATTTATTATTTTTATTTTAGTAATAATATATAATATTTTTTAATATAAATTGACGTTAATAAATATTATTATTAACTATTAAAGGATACCACAATGTCATCTTATGAGCATTTTAAACACGGTTAATAGTAATATTCTATAAATGTGTTATAAATCATGAAATTTAGAAAAAATTAAATCCTTGATGTTTATGCATGATATTTATGTATATAAATTTATATATAAATATATATAAGACATTGTGCCAATTTGTAACGGAAGTAATTTAAAATAAACTTAGTGTTTTTACTGGTATCTTCTTTGGCTTACAAACGAAAGTTTATGACATAATACTACAATGAATGAATGAAACTATTTTTATCCAATAGTTCGATGAATCAATTATAAATTTAGTATCATGAATTTATTGTACCTTTATTTTTACATATATTAAATATTCGCGCAGTGCTAAATTTCTTAAAAATATAATCAAGCAATATTGAAATAAATTAAACTATTTCTTATTGCGTAATTATTATTTATTTATGTATAATACTTATATTATATAAGTTATAAATATATAATACTTATATTATATTACATGTAATATTTTCTAATAAATTTGTAAATAAATAATTTGTAATATCTAAAAAAATTTATTATTGCATATATTAATATTGAATTTATAAATATTTAATATTATATAAATAAATACATTAATTATTCATACATATATTTGAAATTAATATTTGAAAAAATTGAAATTGGATTAAGTATACATCTCTTTCCTGATTTGTAATATTGTCTTTTTTATATCTTGAATATGTCGCAGCACGCAAGTCCATGAATAACCGATATCTATTCAATCTGCAACAAAATATTAACTTGTAGTTTTTCATCGTGGTGCATTTTGTATTTAAACTACTATTTTAATACATCTATGTGTTATATCGTCATATTTATGATGACGTGCATAATTTTTCAAACTTAAGGAAGATCTAAACTGATTACTAAGAATATTATTAAATTTTAACAGTAAGTTACAGAATATATTATATATTGATCATTGTTTATAAGATTATATGAATAGCATTATTTAGTTTTTAAAAGTATTATTATTTTATTACATTATAATTATGAGAAAATTTTGTAATATTTTTGCACATTTTTTTAATTATTTAAATTAATAGACAAAATATCTCAAATATATATTAAAATTTAATTGATATCTAATATTTAAAATTATTTTAAGACTGTATAAAGTTTAACTATCATAAAAAATAGAATCTTAAATTGAAAAAAAAATAATTTTAAAAAAAATTATATAATCTTAATTAGTAGCAATATACATTATTTTTTAATATAAATAATATATAAATATTTGGAATTAAAAAAAATTAAAAAGTAAACTAATAAATGAATATATAAATATATAAATAAATATATAATTATATATTTTTGAATACTTAAATATTGTTAACCGAAATATATAAAATGAAAAGAAAATAAATTTAAAAGTTGTAACAGAATTATAAAAAGTTAACAAAGTTAAATTATAAAAATTAAATCAGATTAAATTATATAAATATATCTTTATTATTTAAATATATTAATTATACCTATGTATAAAATTATCTTTGTGTGAAAAATAATTTATATTATTCTCATTCAATTTTTTAAATAAATATTATTACATTATTTCATTTCTATTATATTTAATTATTATATTTATTATATTTTATATTATATTTATTATATTATATTTATTATAATTTAATTTCCAACTTTTAAATATTAATGAAAATATCTCTATTTCACTTTCTATGTGCCGAATAGTATTTGAATAATAATTCATGTTTGTACGCAATGTACGCAATTTTAAAAATGTATTGTTATCTCATATTCACATCATATTCACATTTGCGGACATCCAATGATTCAACATTTATTGTTATATAAATCACACAATATAAATTACAAATAATATTTATTGAAAACTTTTTACACTATTTATTTTTTTTAATAGATATAATTAAAAAACAAATATGTATATATTTTGTTTTATAATCGATTCCTTTTCATGCATAGTATTTAACATGCTTATCACAGTCAAGAATTTATGTCACTCGAAGTTTCGCACTTCTGAGTTTATTTTGGTATTATTGTAACTTGGCAACTAAACTGGTTGTACAAGGCTAAAAGAAGAACACAACCTCAAACAGATAAATTACGAAAAATTTTATTACATATTATAATATAGTGCTGATTATAAAAAAACTAATGAAAACATTAAAAATTGTGTTAACAATTGTTTTTTTATAATAATCAGTTAACAATTTATATTTAAATTTCTATGGTAAGTATATGATCTAATGTTTTTACTTAATTATAGATACATATGTAAATAAATCGTAAATTTAATATTTCGTATTAATGACGAGAGATAATCAATTACTTTCGATAGGGAATCGATAATTTCTCATCAAACTAAGTTAATGTCTATTTAAGAAATTCAGGATTGAAAATACTATTATAATATAATTGTTGTTATACATAACAATATGCTATCGTGTTTCTCATTATTTATTACATGATCATAACCCTATACATATATATATATATATATATATATATATATATATGCAATATAACTCATAAAAAACTTAGAATCTAGCCATTTGGTCGATTTTTACCTTTAAATAAAGTATGAGTGTTCTATAAAACATCACGTGTCTTCTAAAGGACTTTAAGGTCATATTAGATTTAAAACTTATACATATATATTTATTATTGAGGGCTATACTTACTGCTTATAGGTTCTTCACCTTCATTTATATAATATGTCATATAGATATGCGATTATAAATTCATTTATATTATTGTCATATAAATTATAATTTAAATTATAATTAATAGATTTTCTTATTTTATATATATTTTTTATAAAACATATTGTAATCCATATCAAAATTAAAATTAAAATATTTAATATTATTGTAATATTTAATTTATAGATAATTATATTATGACAATTTAAAAACATAACAGTTATACTTTTTATATTGATGACTATATTTGATTGTATAAATTTGAATCAAGTAACAACTATACAACATTTAACAATGTAAGAACAAGATACACATATAATTATGACATATCATATACATATTTAATCAATGACATGTATGTATATTCTATGCATTTTCCAGCCTTATATTCATATATATACATATTTTATATACATTTCATATTGTAAATAATTATTAAATAAATCTCTCTAGATACATATAATTAAATAATCATAAAATAATACTAATACTAAATGATAAATTAAAATATTATTATTAAAAGAAAATTACAAAAAATACAATTACATAATAAAATCACAAAAAATAATTTTTACATATTTAAAAATAAAAATCATAAAATACATTACTAAATATATTAATAAATAATAATATGATTATAAAATTGCAGGGAATATAATAATGACTTTAATAAATGGAATATGCAATTTCAAATAATGAAGTGAATGAAAGTACAATCGTAATTATTCTACCTCAACTGAACGGAATTCTTCTTATGTCTAGAAGTGGTAACATCAGGGAGGGTAACCGCATGACGGCGCCACGAGAGCGTCGCGACGCGAGCTACGGTCGTCAGGCGGCGCCGGTCGTTCGTCACGAAACGAGGCGGGGTTGCAGAAGTTCTCGTATGAAAGAAAGAAAGAGGCAGCCAATTCTCGTGATGTGAACTCGAGCAAAAGAGAAAGAACTGAGGAGAATCGTGAACAGAACGGTGTAAGACATACGGCGAAACTAGCGCCTCTGTTTGTACGCTCTCTTTGTTACTTTTGTATCTATCGGCTTATGAAAGAGAGACAGTTTTCGGAATTAAATGCCAAGTCGTGACAACGTATCTCCTCGATCCTTTCGTTAACTACTCCCATCTTTTTTTCTTTTTCTTTGCACATATACTCTTTCTCTTTTTATCCTGTTCAATTTTATATCCTTATATTAGTGTTTGTCATTCAAAATTCACAAAATCCAAATCTGTTACTATCGGTTTTCTATGGTGATATCACGGTGTAGCAAGATCCAATTGACAAAGAAGAAAATTTGTGCATGAAACAATATAAATGTATATGAACATCATGTGTGCTTTTCTTACACATATATGTATTACATCGGTACGAGGTACGATAGTGTCTCGTCATAGATCTCTTTTAATTCTATCAGTGACTAATTAAACGTGGAAATTCAGCAACTTTATGGCTGGACAATGCGTCAACCAGGATAACAACGGAATATAAAAATATCAAGAAATCCTTGAAGTTCTATAAGGATTTTCTATTCTCGTCTTTGTTCCTTTCGTCTCTCTTATGGGTATGCCCTACCTGATGTTTAATTCGATTTCGAAAATTTCATTTGTAAATGAATTTTTAACATTTCTTAAAGTTTAATTTATGACATTAAGTTTTGATATCTGCACGTATATAATTCGTGTCTTGATTACAAATATGCACGTGTTGTGCGCGTGTAGTATACGCATAGAGTGCAAATTTGTTCGTGTGCGTCACCATGTATGCCGGTTAAGACAATTTTTTTGTATTCATAATTTGCTAGAAAAAAATTAATTAAAAATGAGATAGTAACAAATTTTTTATTTACAAAAATGTATATAATGAAGCATATAATTATATATGTTGTTATATTGTTTTATTATTATTCCAATTCCATTATAGTTGCTATAATTAATAGATTTTGTAAATCTAAATAAATATATAAGAAATAGATGCAATAAAATTCAACTATACAATTTTTGCTTATAATAACATTAATAATAAATTATTAAGTAATAATATATTATAAATATATTTTAAATAATTATACTAATTATATTAATAATAACAAATAACTTTTATATATATACAATTTTTTGAATTTTCAAATTTGTTTTTAATATTAAATAATATTCTGTATAAAAATAGTTTAATAAATTAATAATATTACATAAATGCAAATAATTCTGCATTAATACATTTATGTATAATGTTAAAAATATGAGAAAAAAATAAATTTGATTTAATTATTATAATTATTAAAAGTTTATATAAAAGCGAAATTAACCTATTTATTTTTCGATGCTTTCACATAAATTTCAATTATTATTATTCTTTAATTTGACTTTTTATGAATTGTGATATTTTCGATTTTTCAAAAATATCAGATAATTTTTTTTTATTAATTAAACGAAAAAAAATCAGTTATTATTGTTTATTATTAGAGATATACAGATTTATATTATGGTCGCTAAAATAATCAATATTATATTATTATCAAAATTTAATTATAATTATTATTATTACTATTAATTCTCAATTATAATTGAAAACAAACAATTAATTTTTAAATTAAAATAAATTAGAATGAATTGAAAATTTAACATTTTAATAGATTGCGCATAATAATAAAATATTTTAACTTATAAACAAGCTATAATAATGCTTAATAATGCACAAGTTATATATTATCATTTTACTATTTATTATAATTATTATTATTATCATTGTTATTGTTATTATTATTATTATAAAAACTTTAACACATTCTATATAAATATTGAATAATGTTTTAGTTCTCTAAATGATAAAATTTGTTATATAAGATGTTATCAGATAAATCAAGATTGATATTTGCAATCATCATTTTTAACATTTTATCATAATTTGATTTTGAACTTATCACTGAAATCATTCTTCGAATTATATTTCTTCAAAAATTACAATATTAACAACTTTTACAACTTTGAAATTTTTTTGAATAAGATAATCGTATAAATAAAATAGATAACATTAAGTATATAATTTTAGGATTTCAATTATATATGAATTATTTATTATAATATTAATGTAATGTTTTTATCTTTCATAGCACAAATTTCGTCGAACGAAGCTTTAGAAGAATTCAAAATAAAAACAGGACAAACGCACAGCAACAACGAAAAATTGTAAGTCTAACGAATAAATAGTGTAATGACTAGAATAGGAAGAATTGTACAAAAAGCTCATGGATCAAATGGTAGATAATGAAAAAATAAATCAAATAATGCGTAAAGATTATTTCTGCACATCAAATTCAAAAGATCGTCCGTATTTTATAACAACTTTATACTCGATAGAGTATAAATCATTTATAAGAATATATAAAGATATACGGCTGTCTTTTTCATAACTGACAAAAAGAAGCTTCACAATGTTAAACAGCGGGCAATCGCTACAAAACGAGATTGACTTGTAAAAAAAAAAAAGAAACAAAAATTGGATTATTTGACGAATATTTAAAATAATTACTATAATTATGGATGAGATAAAAGTGGCGAACTTGGGCCAAGCGGCATCAGCCGCATGCTCGATGGCTACAAATTTCTTGGCGCCAGTGAAGACCGAACGGCAGATCTACGAGAATTCGATGCTCGAGGACGATCCCAATGCCAATTCGGTGGTATCAACTTCACAAGAAGACAGAACCGTACCGAGATGGGGTCCCAATCATAAGGGTGCTCAAGAATTGGCAAATCTTTATAGCACTGGTAATAATTTTAAATTTTTCTTTATTTTTTTATATTGAAGTATTTTTAGTATTTTAATATTAAATATTTATTAATATTTATAATTTTTTCAAATATATAATATTAATATATAATATAAATATATAATATAAATATATAATATAAATAAAATATAATATAAATATATAATATTATATATTAATTTATATTTTATGAAATATCACTTAATAATTTTATTATATTTATAATATAAAATCTACAAAAATATATGTGATACATATACTTATCATATGTATGTTTTCTAATTCTAATATTTGCCAAGATGCTAGCTATACATCGATCGCACCTTGGAATTTTCGGCTATGAACAAAAATAAAGAACGATCTAACAATATATATCTTTATATCTATATATTATTCATAAAATTATTATTATGGTTTTTATAATTAAAATGTAATTATAAATTTTGATATAATTAATTTTATTATATATTTTTATTACAGGAAAAAGGACACAAGAATGCATTTGTGTTGGCATCTGCATTACACTCATTATAATTAATTCAATATTTATTCTTGTCAGATTAAGATTAGAAAATTTGAGCTCAATAGTAATAGCAGCATTTTGTGGCATTGTTACTGCAGATTTTGGATCTGGATTAGTTCATTGGGCTGCCGATACATGGGGTTCTGTAGAACTTCCAATTCTTGGAAAGGTAAATTATAAAAAATCATTAAACAACTTATCTATTTATATCTTAAATTATGGGTAATATTATTTTATAAACTTTATTAAATATTTTATAAATTATTAAATATTGTTTTATATTTAAAAAAAAAAAAGAGAGAAAGAGAAAAGCATTTAAAATTTATATATTTTGTATTATAAAATGTTAAATATCAATATATGTATATATTTTTAGAATTTTTTAAGACCATTTCGAGAACATCACATTGATCCAACAAGTATAACAAGACATGATTTTATAGAAACTAATGGTGATAATTTCATGGTCACAATTCCATTCCTTTATAAATTAACATGGGATTTCTTAACTCTCCCAGAATCAGAGATACAACAAAAATTTGTGTGGACTTGTTATTGGTTTTTACTTGCAATTTTTGTAGCAATGACTAATCAGGTAATTAAATTTATAAATTTATAAATTTATAATTTATAATTATAATTTGTTGATATATTATCTTTTTTTAAAATTACTATTTAAATAATTGTTTATTAAAATATTTATTTGGAAACAAAAATATAATCCTTATATTTTTCATATTAGAAATGCATATATATAAGTCTATAAATTTTTTTCATTTTATTAGATTTAGTATTAGTAAAATAATATAGTAGCAATAACATAAAAGGTTTTTCCAGATACATAAATGGTCACATACATATTTTGGATTACCTTCCTGGGTTGTTTGGTTACAAGAACATAGAATTATATTACCTAGAAAACATCATCGTGTACATCATGTTGCACCACATGAAACTTACTTCTGCATTACTACTGGATGGTTAAATTGGCCACTAGAACAACTTCGTTTTTGGTATATCTTAGAAATTATAATCGAAAAAGCTACTGGCTGTAAACCCAGAGCAGATGATTTAAAATGGGCACAAAAACGATCTTGAGAATTAATATATTTTATTATTTTATGCATTTTTATGGATAAAAAGAAAATTTAACAAGAAATGAAATTTTCCATGAATTTATAATTTCATGGACTAATATAGAAGGAAATTTCAAATAGAACATGCTAAAAGGAAAGTTAAATCCATATTGTAATTTTTTTCTTATATTTAGCACTACGAGGCCTTTCCTACAAAATAGGTAGCGTAATTAAAGACATTTAGTATTACTTAAACATGCTTTTGAAGTTTACACATCTATAATATATATATATATATATATATATATATATATGCAATAATATAAATATGTATATACATTACATAAAAGAAATGTGAGTATAAAATCACATTTGTGTAACTATGAATTACGAATTAATAATTGGCCTGATGAATTAAGCAATTATACGTTTATGCACCGCACAATCATTACACAAGTTATAAGCACAAATTTTAAGCAAAGAAAAAGAATATTAATTTAAAATTTTATATAATAATTTATGAAGTATTATAAAGCTATAATCAAAGTACTGCAGTACATTGTGGACAAGAAATATCGCGTATTATATTTAAATTTTAAAAAACTATAAAATAAAACTAAATGTAAAAATAAAATGCATTGATACATGTATATTAACTATTAATGTACATGTATATATATATATGCATATTATATGTATTTTTTGTATACGTAAATATTTATATATTTATGAATTTAAATTTATTGCTTATATTTGTCGCGTATCTAAACAGTGTAATTTTTAAAAAAAGATATAATTTACATTAATTAATATTCTAATTTGTACCAGCCTAAACTGCTGTTTAAGTATATATCATCAATTTCCCTGAACCTCTGAAAATTTTTGAATTATAAATTTAATAAAAGAAAATTAATTTATAATGAAATATTTTATCGGATATCAATTTAACTGCTATTTATTTACAATAGATGGATTCTAAAATATTTTAACATTTTTCCTCTTCACAAAAAACAAAAAATTAGCTATTGTTCATTAATAAATCTATACATTTTTTATATATTTTTATATGGATCATCAGTAAGCATTGAGTTTATAATCATTAAAATTGGCAATTCAAACTTAATCTTAATTTAAAAAATTAGATTATATTGTCACAATCTGAGCTAAGATTTACGTAACAGCATTATACAAAACAATATTATATAAATAGAGCAGAAAAAAATAATATATTATTTATAAATAAAATCTCATTTTTGTTTGATATCATTTAATATCTTTATTTAATAATAATAAATTAAAAAATATTCTTTTTTATTCGTCGCATTTCTTAGCTCAATGACATAATAATTTAATAAATACAAAGGTTGTATAAGGTGCTATGTATAAATATAAGTACAAGTTTTAGGTTCAGGGACCAATAAAAGAGCTAATTGCTCTATGCAGCAGTCTTCTAAATAATTGGTTTGATTTGGATAAAGTATACTGATTAGAAATATAGCAGTATTTTTACAAATGCTATTAAAATTCCTGCTTGATTTTTATATATGCCTTTTTATTGGCTACTTTTTTCAATGGCTTTGTAATTTTCAGTATACTTTATGCAGAGCTTTACCACAATATATGTTCCTTACAAGCAAATCATTAATAATGTCTTTTTAAGAAAATATTAATTAGAAGACATTATAATTATTATAAATATCGTAATTGTTATTGTTGTTGTTATTGTTATAAAAAAAAGTATTAACTTTTAACAAACTTGTCATATAGCAATGCGTGCCAGAACTGAAGCTTTCTTTTGATATAGATCTATTTAATAATTAACTAATAACTATACAAAGCAAAATGAAACACAAAAATTATATTTTTGGCTAATTTAATTTTCTATGCAATATATTGATGTCATTATTATTACTGCAAACTTTGATTACTTTTTGCAATATATAATTTTTTAAAAATAAATTATGAAACAAAATATGAAAATAGAACTATATATTGTATCATTCTTATATAAAAATAAGGAAAAATAAGAAATTCATTTCTATATTAAAAAAATTATATATGATTTCAATATTAATTTAATATCAAAATTTTCATTATTCATTACAACGAAAACAAAAAAAACGAAATATAAAATTATACAATATAGGCAGCATAGATGTATGATATTACATAATTAATTTATTAATTTAATTATCGATATTTAAACACGAAATATTTTGATTAAAATAAAGTGTTTCGTTTTCACATTCCATAAGTTTAATTATGTAAAAAAAAATATTTATTTGACTAATTTTTAATAAATTGTAGATATTTATTTATATAATATTTAATAACGATACCAAAAAATTTGTTAATTTATTATATAGTTCATTTGATTGATTAATATAATAGATTTATACAATTCTAATGACAGTCAATATAATAGCAGCCTTATAAGATAAAAAACAAGGAAAATTTTATTAAAGGATAATCTTAAGCTTTAATCTTCTGAGGCTACATTCTATTTTAGAAAGTATACAATATAAAAAAATTTATGCAAAATAAAATGAATTAAAAGCTATAGAAAATTTAAATATATTATAAGAACTAGTATTAATAATTTTGACTTTTGCAAAGCACACTTAGATGTAAATACGTATATGTTTTTAGCTTAAATTTATAAAAGAAAAATATAAACTGCATAGTTCAAACAAAAAAGAAATAAAGGCTGTAAATATATTGAATTTGATACATAAAAAACATTTATATCTAGCTCTAATTGCAAAAATGCATACCTATTTTCATATGATTATAAATTAAACTTTTAATGTAATTATATTATATCATTATTAGGCACAATTTTTTTCATTAAGTTTTATAATGTTTTTAATAAGTAATTTTCAATGACGAAATAACGAAATGTAATTTCAAAAAATATGTACATATAAATATGTTTTGCTTAATTTGATGTAGCAAAATCTGCATTTAAAATTTACATACTAAAAATATATCATACAATAAATGAAATTGTTCTATTATTTTTATAAATTAATTATATACATTATTAATTTTTATAAGTTATAAAAATATAAAAGCATATTATTATATTTTTAATTTTCTATATTGCCAATTTCAAAAAATATAAACTACTTTGCAATAAATATAAATGTATATATGTAATATGTTCTGATACTACAAATATACATGAAATATAATCAAAACAATAGATTTTATTCGAAATTTTTTAAATATTCTTATATCTGAAATTATGTATGATAATATTATTTTTTTCAATAAATTTAAAATACATTTTTTGTTATTTACAAGAACATATAAATAATTATAATTCAAAAAATTGAAAAATTGAAATTAATTATCTAGATATATTAATATTATAAAAATTTTCTTCTTAATGAGATAATAATATAACTATACAAAAGTTATAATTAATTAAAACAATATTCACTTACAATTTAAAATAAAATTGTGAAATCATTAATTAAAATAATTTCTTTGATACTGTCAAAATAATAATCTCTAATAATTTTATAAAAATGTAAATTAATATTTTACATTAATATAAAAAAATGTGTTCCGTCTATTATAATTTTGTAAAAAAAATTAGCACTTTTCTTCTTTATATTAGTATTGAAACATTCATCTAAAGAAAGAAAATGAAAATATTATTATATAAAAAAACATTGTTTTATGATAATGCAAATTTTATATGATTGTAATGTAACGGAACTGCACATAAAAATTTAACATTCATTAATATATAAAAAATTTTGTAATATTAATGTATCATTCTATAAAACCTTAAGTTGCAAAAAAATAAATAAAGATAGTTGTTTAATAAATAACACATAAAACATTTTATTTTTTAATTTATAAACTGTTACTAATTAATTGTATCTAATGAATTTTTAAATTTATAGGAATGCAGGTGTACCAATCTTAAATATATTTTATATTTGGTATCTATATATTTGGATCTATATATAGATTTATATATTTGATATGAATATGTTTTCAATGTATTTGAATAAAAAAATGAAAAAATTATTACATAATGTGTAAAAATAAATATAATAAAAAAAATTTAATAATATTTAATCTTTATATGAAATAATTAATTATTTTACTTTAATCATCAATTATTTTTTTTATATAAATTGTAATTATATTAAATTATTATTATATTATAATTAATATTAATATATTATAAATTATATTATAAAAACTATATAAATTTAAAATATATTTTACATAGTTTAAAAGTAAATTTAAAAGTAAATTTAAAATATATTTTAATATTCTATTATGGATAATATTTTTTGTTAAAAAAATATATATTTGTAATATTCGTATAAATAATGATTTATCATATTTATATGCAATAAAATACAATATATCTATAATATTCGATTGTAATAATACAAAATTATTATTCAAAAAGATATTAATCACAATTTAAATATCAAATTCAAAATTTCAATTAATAATATTAAAAAGATATTATATTTAAAAAATTACAATTCATTAATTAATAAGACATTTATATAAATTTAAAATTGTAATTTCTTTTGATAAAATTAGTTTCTTCGAAAGCAGAACTATATTGACGTCAACGGAGATCGATAGCTTTACTCACGGTATGAATCTACAATACTTGAAAACGTTCACGGTAATTTGTCATCCATTTCTCTAAACAGTTGGCAGAATTTGTGCGTGTGGTGTGCGCTAGTCTGCCGACGGCGTCCGTTCATAGAAAAGAGAGAAGACATAAGAGTCCTTTGTCAAATTAAAGGAAAGTAATTTAGTTGAGAAGAAATTTTAATAGTTAGACAAAAGAGATATCAAGAAAATTAAGGGTAACAAAGTGATAGTTCAGCTGCGTTTTGGATTTTTTGACCTCTTGAACTCCCCGCGGGTTTTTTCTTTCCCGCGAGGTGAATAACAGTGGTACATAGCCAAACCCCTGACCCCTCTGAAGCTTCGCGCCTCGGCGCCTAGGCTATATCAAAAGGAAGGAGAAAGAAATTGCGGAAGCGGGGAGGTTAAGAGGACGGCACGAAAGGGAGAACGCGCCGTCCATCACCATGAAGCTCGTTGACCACGTGGTGAGGAGCTTCAAGGTGGCCAAAGTTTTTCGTGAAAATTCTGATCGTATAAATAGTATCGACTTTTCACCAAATGGGGATACTTTGATCTCTTGTTCAGAAGATGACCAGATCGTGATATATGACTGTGAGAAAGGCACTCAGGTGCGTACAGTCAATTCTAAGAAATATGGTGTAGATTTAATCCATTTTACACATGCAAAGAACACTGCAATACATAGCAGTACTAAAATTGATGATACTATTCGTTATTTGAGTCTGCATGATAACAAATATATAAGATATTTCCCAGGTCATAGCAAAAAAGTTGTATCACTATGCATTAGTCCTATAGAAGATACATTTCTTTCTGGTTCTTTAGATAAATCATTAAGATTATGGGATTTACGTTCACCTAATTGTCATGGTGTTATGAATGTTTCGGGACGTCCAGTTGCTGCATATGACCCAGAAGGTCTTATTTTTGCAGCAGGTGTCAATTCAGAATTTTTAAAGTTATATGATTTACGCAGTTTTGATAAAGGGCCATTTGTTACATTTAAATTATCTCAAGAAAAAGAGTGTGATTGGACAGGACTAAAATTCAGTAGAGATGGTAAAACTATTTTGATCTCTACAAATGGTAGTACAATTCGTTTGATTGATGCATTTCATGGTACACCATTACAAACATTTGCTGGCTATTTAAACAACAAAGGAATTGCAATTGAAGCCAGTTTTAGTCCTGATTCACAGTTTGTATTTAGTGGATCTACAGATGGCAGAGTACATGTATGGAATGCAGAAACTGGATATAAAGTTTGTGTGCTTAATGGAGATCATCCAGCACCAGTTCAGTGTATTCAGTTTAATCCTAAATATATGATGTTAGCATCTGCCTGTACTAATATGGCATTTTGGTTACCTACTGTTGATGAAAGTGCATAAAATCAAAGCATCAGACTTTGGGCAATACTCACAAGAATTTATCTAATTTTGTGCAAAATAGAACTGAAAATTACATCGGTTCAAGAAAGAAATGACAACAAAGAATTCTTGGGTATTTTAAATGAGCAGAAATTGCATTTACATTATATTCAAAGTTAATTAACCGACGTATGAGACGCCGGTGTTGGAACAAACCCAAGAAAAAGAAAATATGCCTATAATATCCAAGAGATCGGCCCGCTTGGCTTATTCGCTTGCTTCGAGTATGTCATATACTGTTTATGTATTTTGCCATCTTCATCATCATCGTCATATACTCTGTGGCGCGATGAACGTGACCATAAAATATCTTGTCAATATTTAAAACTATCTCTTTTTTCTCAAAGTATACAAATACTGTTAGTTTTGGATATATCATCTTGTGTACATAATTTCTTCTTGTGTACCTGTGTGTAGCATAATGATACAGAATTATCCACAAATTACAAAATTTAAATTATATATCAATTGACATTTGCATAGTCAATATTAACATTTTATTGTGTTATTGATTATGTGCTTGATAATATTTTAACAAATCTATTAAATAATTAGATTGTTTTGATTTATTGTCCAACAAAAAATTAACATATAATACACTATTAATAGAAGGTCATAAACTTATTTATAAATTTTTTAATTGAACAATTTTTTCATTGAATTTATTCATTTGATAAATTTATAAAGCACAAAGAAAGAAAAAAAATATATATATAATATTGTTGTATTAATATTTAGAAGAAGAATTAAATTCTCTATGTACACATGAAATTTTATAATATTCAAAAATATATGCATCACGTACATTTAATTCTATAGTAATCAGTTCATAAAGGCAAAAATGGCAGTCGCTGATATCGCGCATGGAGAAATTATGATCATATTACATTAACACATATCTCAACAAATTAGTTTCATTAATTAAATTCCTCAGTGACCGTCCGAAATCAGGGATATTTTTTGTAACCTCATTATGAACGGGCGTTCACTTGAAATTCAATATCATTGCGCGCAAGAATGATAGATATCGAGCTTATTTATTGTGCGCAATAAACGTGTGAAACGTTTTAAATAGATACTTTGTTGACGGCAGTAATATATCTCGTATTTCTACGACTTCCATGCGATAAAGGTATAATAATTCAGAAAATATACTGCCAATGTTGGCACTTATGTTATTGTATATGTATTATTCTAGATATGGTATCGGTTTTAATCTACATGCGTGGAACCGGCGGGCCGGGTGAAAAAACATTCGATGATAGTAGGAAGTGCAGTTAAGTCTAATCATTTCAAGTAGTTCGGTAAATTTTGACGTTTATATCAATGCGATACATCTTATAAGTCAACAGGTGCATTGGAAAGGACAGGCAGAAACAAAAATCGAAAAAAAAATTGGACAATCCATCTTTTTTATACCATGTAATTGTATTAATTGTAATTAAATAATTGTTCTGTTTTATTGTATATGTAAATTTATATATGATGGATTATCGAATTTATATTATTTACTTAAGCTAAAAAATCTGGATATTGCAAGAACATGTCAAAAAAATATTTCATAAAATTGTGTGTAATTAATTTATATTACATATTTACGACAGTGCTTGTGTATTCTGTCTGTTCGATTATATAGCCCTGCTTTCATCATACGTGTATATATCATTCTATTCACAGTGTCCTCTAGAATTTCTAGACGTTTTCCTTAACATACCTTATGCAGGAGTAGGTGGTTATACTATTCTATACAAAAAGTGCGCATATATGCGTAATATGTATGATTGGTTGCATATTTGTGAATTGTCTATTGATTCTATAATGATGTATGAGTGTATGTATGAATGCTCTTTGTATGTATTGTATTCGCTTGTATATCTTCGGCGAGCTCTTGAATGCATTACGTATATGTCAATGCTTGAGAGTTCGTTTCATTATGTAAAATAGTATTTTTCTAAATGGCGAAACAGTGTACGCGTGCAAAAATTGCGATTTATGTTAGACAAACTGAAGGGATACGATTGTTATTTAAAAATGTGTCCTGTGTAATTAAAAAAAAGAAATGTTAAAAAAAAATATGTTGATTTCATGAAATGGATTAAATTTACTGAGTACCGAAGAATAAAATCAACGAAATCAAGTCTTGAAAGTATCGTGATCAATCCACGTATATAGATTAAACACTTTCATACTGCCAACTATAATTGAGTAAATGTTCAAGCCAAGAATATCTCGGATACGAATTTCTATAATTCGTGCAACATGCGAAACACTGTGTTCCCAATCGGAAAAAATGACAACTTGTATATACTCTAACAAGTTATGACGGAATATCATTTGATTGATAATTAACATTCTTCCGTGATCGAAAAAACCGAAATCGATTATTGATCAATTTTGAAATGGTTATAATTTCACAACTGTTTTCATATTTAAAATGTCAATCAGGAGCGTAAATAAATTCCTTTTTATTGAAAATTTTAAAAAAATTCATAACATTTTATATATAAAACAAAATGATATATTTCTTTTTAACATCAATTTTTGTTTATTGTTTGTATATTTACATTTTATTATTCATAACAAAGATACATAATCCATAAAAAAAAGATATTATTTGAGCAAGAAATCGTTTACTATTTAGTTATTTAATTCAATTTTTAACACATTTATTTATTTAAGTAGAAGACAAAAAATATGTCTAAACTATATATCTAATTTACGCTCCTATCATAGTCGTTGATTTATGCGATTACTTAACATAGGGATTTAGAATTGAATTAAGATTAAATATATATCGTATCGAAATTGAATGAATCTTAACAATTAGCACAATTGGAAGAGCGTTTTATTAAAATGCATGAAACAAAAATTAAACATGATTCATGAAGCAATTTGTCTAATTGTATTATATATAGAAACATTTATCTAAAATGTTCTCTTTGAATAAATTTTAAATTTAAATTTTCCTACGTTAAGTTTTCGTACGAAATAATCGTTATGTTTTATAGACGAAACGTAGTCACGTTTAATAATAATTTTTAATTAAATTTTACATTATTCTGCGCAAAAACTAAATCGATTAATTAACATCTGTTATACGTAATACATTATAGATTTTTAGAGAACTAGGAACATACAAAAACAAATGTGTCATTATAAAATATAAATTTCAGTTGAAAGACTGCAATTTCTTCCAATAATAATTTAGAGTACGCACATTTTTTTTATTATTTATATGTTTATATTTTATCACAACTCAATTGCATTGTAAAACTTTTATTTTTTTAAATTGTTAAACAATAGAATGAAGAGTGATATTAAAATATTCTTGAAATATGTAATTTCAAATCATAGGATTTTGAATGTGTGTACTCATAATTTATTTTTTCATTGTAAGCTATATAATTTTAATCATGTCTTGTGCATAATAGATGTAAAATAAATAAGATATATGATTATGCAATTAAACATTTCTTAATGAATAAAAAGAGACTTTTCACGTTATATTTTATGAAAATTACAGTAAGAATTTGATTTTCAAGAAGAAAGTTTTCTAATTGCATTTATCTATGTTCCAGTTCACTAATTATAAATCAAAATAATATGAAAAGATTTCTTCCCACATTAAATATAATAACATATCAACGTTAGAAAATTTTAATTAAATCTTCTTAAACATATTCATAAAAAAATTTGATAACCATGTATTGATTTAATTATTCATTGCGCAGATAATTTTTTATTTTTCTTAAAAACTATTTGAATAGAACATGAAATTTTATTAAAAAAAAAAATTCTAATAAAACACTTTTTTTGTACATTAAAATTTGGTTTTATCATTTTATTTTTATACTTGTTTCGATTAATTATTCTTAAAAACAATTTAACCCTAATAAAAAAATAATTTGTATTTCTTTTATGTATACATTATATATTTTTTTATTTACGTCTGATCATGTTTATATTGTTTTATAAAATCATAAGTATGATAATGTTGGATAGCGATTTTAATTACTAAAATTATGTAACACGTGTATTAATATACCTAATCACATTTATGCAGTAAATTGATGGATTTTCTAGTAATTAAAGTTGTGCAAATATTATTAATTATGGTATATATGTAATTCCCTTTTTCATGTAATAAATTTATCATTTATGGTATATATATTGGTCATATATTTTGTTCAGATGTAATAATTATGAAAATGCACTTAGTTTTTATATTTTTGTTGCATTAATAATATTTTTGTTATTTTAAAGTTATTTTGTTTCATGATATTATTTTCATTATTGGGATATAAATGAGTATGAATAATATAATAATTCATAAATATAATAAATTATAAAATAAATTTATAAAATGAATTTAAATAAAATATATAGTATTTAAAAATTATATTTATTTTCGTTAACAGAATGACATAAAATTAATATTATAAAATAATATATAAATATTTTTCATTTATATTATGATCATATTATAGATTTTGCTGTAAATATGAATTATTAAATTAATAAAAATAACTGATGATTTTCATAAAGTGTATAAAAATTATTAAAAAAATGTGACTAATTAATTTTTAAAATTATTTTTATAATATAGTAACAAATATAAACGATATTTCTTGACTATTGTTTTATTCATTTATCGTTCGTATGTGATACAATTGTTTTTCTTCTTCAGAAATGGAAACTGGTGCTCCTGACATTAAATCTCGTCCTGTCATTGTTTTTGGAAATGCTATAACATTTTTTATATTTTTTTCATTACATAATAAAGATATTAAACGATCTAATCCTAAAAAATAATTTAATATTTGTTTATTATCATATCATATTATTGAATATTGTTGATATTTAAATTAAGAATAAATTACCTATAGCAATTCCACCATGAGGTGGAGCACCAGATTCTAAAGCATCAAGAATGTGCATTAAGGATGATTCATTTATCTTCAACATTTTTAATATTTGTTTTTGTAAATTTGATTTATGAATTCGAATTGATCCTCCTGCAATCTCGAAACCATTCATAACCAAATCATAATGTAATCCTCTAACCTATAAATAAATAAATAATTATTTCATTTATTAAAATATTATTAAATTTATTAATTAATCAACAAAAATACCTTTAATGGATTCTTTACAAGATGTTCTATATCATCTGAATGAGGTTGTGTAAAGGGATGATGCATAGTTTCTAATAAATTTGTTTTAGTATTAAATGAAAATAAAGGAAAATCAGTGATCCATACTAATTCATTTTTATTAGTACGAATTTTTTCACCTTTATTTTCCAAAAAATTTGTAAATTCAAGACGTACTTTTCCTAATAATGATTGCTGTAATTTCAAATATGATGGTAATATATATATATAATTATTGAATATTAAAAATATAATTAATATTTACTAAATTAATACTTACTGTATCAACTTTTTCTCCATAAGCTAAAAATAAAACATCTCCTTCTTTTAAATTTAACTGTTGTTGTACATTTTCTTTAATAATACTTGTTATAAAGGGTGATTTATTAGGTATTTTTGTTTGGATTAATTTCACAAAAGGAAAATAATTGTTTTGTAGTTTAGATATAGCATCTTTAACAGATTTTGTAAGAAAATTCTAAAATATATAAAATTTATTATAAATATAAAAAAATTAGAAAATGAGAAAATTATAAATATTATATTAATTATAAATAAAAATTATAAACATACATATTTCTCAGAAAAAACTAAAGCATAAATTTCAAATTTGTCACTCTGTTCTATTTTTAAATCTTGTATTAATGCTGAATAATCAATTGATTCTGTCAATCTATAAAGCTGAAACATTAATAATATTATTTATAATATTATTTTAAGAATATCAATGAAAACTGTATTTATATCTTACTTGTTGTGGTATACATAAATCTGGTTTATCTGTACCATATAATTCCATTGCATTGTCATATTTCATACGTTTAAAGGGAATAGTTAATTCATGCAATTCTTCAGGCCAAGAATATACTAATAAATTTTCAATTAATTTCATTATTCCTTCACAATCGACAAATGACATTTCTATATCTAGCTATAAAATAATATATTTGTAAACATTAATTTATTATAATTAATTATAATTATATACACATATGCATATGTGTGCATATGCACACATATTTATTTTCAAATAATAAATTATACCTGTGTAAATTCAAGTTGTCTGTCATGTCTAGGTTGTTCATCTCTATAACATCTGGCTAATTGAAAATATCTATCAAAACCACCCACCATTAATAACTGTTTAAATTGTTGAGGACTTTGTACTAATGAATAAAATTGTCCTGGAAATTTTGTTGGGACTATAAATTCTTGTGCACCCTAAATTTAATGATAAGTTTAAAAATCTCAAATAAAAAATGACCAATATTATTTTGATGTACATACTTCAGGAGTATTTTTAAATAATGTTGGAGTTTCAATATCTACAAAATTACATTGTTTAATTAAATATTCTCTCATTTTCATAACTACTTTTGAACGTAATCTCAAATTTTTTTGTAATTGAGGATATCTTAATGATATATATCTATATTTCATTTGTGTACTTTCCTTTGCTTTATTATAATCTCTAATAATAAATGGAAGATTTGAATTTGCCATGTTTAATACTTTTATAGATTTTATTTCTACCTCAATATCTCCAGTTTTCATGAATTTATTCTCTTGACCCTTTGGCCTTTTTAATACTTTACCTTCTATACTTAATACGCTTTCAAAAGTCAATTTTTTAGCCATTTCTTGTAAATCTTTTTTCTAAAATAAGAAATAGATTCTTCAATTTCAATATATTCCAAATTTTCAATGAAATTTATATATTTTTTTTCACTTACATGTTCTGGTATAATGAGTTGCGTAGAACCATAAGAATCTCTTAATGTTAAGAATTTATTAATTCGAGAAAATTCCAACCAACCATATAAATGAACATTTTCTCCTATATCTTGAATTGTTAATTCACCACATGTATGAGTTCTTGAAACGAATTTATTAACTGGTTGTACATCTTTTTTTATTAACTTTTGTTTTTTATAAGCTAAGTCATGCGTATAAATTATTATTGTTAAAGGATATTTTGTTATAAACTAAAATAATAAATTTTTATTTTCATTTTATTGTTATTGTTATTTATTATTAAAATATAAAATATTTTAAATTTTATATTTTTTAATAATAGTTAATAAATATTCGTATTACTTACTTTTTGATTATTTAAATTATCTATGAATAATAATGATGTTTTATGTAATGATTTTATATAATTGTGAAACATTTTTATAATAAATAAACTTTATATATTATAATGAAAAATATTTCATATGTATTATATTTTATATCTATTTATGATTACTATTATATTTATACATACATAATATACAAATATCATACCATCTTATATTTAAGAAATTACTTAAAAACTATTGAATGTACTTGTTAAAAATATGTTTCAATAACAAATATAAGTATAACAACAAATAATTTTATTTTTTATATTTTATAAATAAATATTATTAAATAAGATTTTTTATTTGTGATTCTATTTTTATTTTAATTAATTTTAACATATAAATATATATAAATGTATATTCAATATAAATACTGAATATATTAACAGTTAATTAATAAATAACTAAAATTTAGTTGGCTATTCTGCTTATAATATAAATATACATTTCGATCTGTTTGTTTTGATGTCAATAGTATTTGAATATACGTTAAAGTGGTGAAAAATGGTATATTTACAAAAAAAATAATAATAAATAAATATTAAACTTAAATTATTTTTATTTATTTTATATATTTTTTTTCCAGTTACCTTTATCATTATTAAGAACAGCTCAAAACCATCCTATGGTAAGTTTCGAATTTAAAGATGAAACAGTTTTATACGAATTAAATGATATTAAGATTCTCTCTTAATTAATAATAATTCTCTTTTAATATTATATTTTATAGCTAGTTGAACTTAAGAATGGTGAAACATATAATGGACATTTAGTTAGTTGTGATAGTTGGATGAATATAAATCTTAGAGAGGTTATATGTACATCTAGGGTATAGTAATAATGCTCATATTCAAATTAATATATTTTATAAATTAATCTTTCTAGTATAATTTATATTATATATTATTTAGGATGGTGATAAATTTTGGAGAATGCCTGAATGTTATATTCGAGGTAGTACAATTAAATATTTACGAATTCCTGATGAAGTTATAGATATGGTAAAAGAAGATGTACAAATGAAATCAAGAGGACGTGGAGAAATGAAAGGAAGAGGACAAAGCCAACGAGGTCGTGGTAGTGGCAGAGGTATAATATATAATAACATATAATATATAATATAATAATATATAATAAAAAATATTTTTTTATAGGTACTTTTGGTCGTGGTGGAAGAGGTCCTGCAGCTCTTGGTCGTGGTGGAGGTAATCAAGGAAATAAATCTCAAAATAAAGCAAGAACAAAATAAAGTTATATTATTTTATTTCGTGTAATTAAATTAATAATTCCCATTTTATCTTTTTTTTGAAAATATATTCGCAATATAATATTCATATAAAACAAAACTATTTTTTTTATTTTATAAGAAATTTCATTTGAGATTGAAACATGTTACAACTGTTTTATTCTTCATAGTTAATTTATACTGAATTAGTAAAATTAACATATCAAATTTAATATCAAAATTTATAAAAGACAAGAAATATTTATTTCATTTACATGAAATAGAAGACACGTAAAATGTATTCTTTTATTTATTTATACACGCAATTCTGATTTGCTAAACGTAGAATAAAAGTTAAATAGTATTATACAATGATAACATGAATTATTTATTTATTTTTAAAAGAATAATAAGTTTGGCTATAATGAATTTGATTACGTCACTTGTTTGTAAGTTTGTCATATCGATGAAAGGAAAATTGTAAATCGATACAAAATATGTCTTATATTTAACGGATACACAATGATAAGTGTATAGGATAACTTTTAAGTTTTCTGTGCCTGCAATAAAAAGATATATCAATATTAAGACATATTATAATAAAATCGTATTTATTATATATATAAAATTATTTATATATACTCACTTTATTAAATCTCAAATTTATTTTTTTGGAAATGGAATTATGTTTATCGTCCTTCGACTATAATAAAAAAGAAAAATTAATTTTTCTTAACATTCTTAATTATAATTATACAAAAATCCAAAAATGAACTTACTATATGAAGCTAAATCTATTTCATCTGGTAATTCCGTAATGTTAACATCAAATCGTTCTTGAACATCATTTAATATTTTAGCATCACTTTCATCACTTACTAATGTAATGGCAAGACCCTAAAATATTATGATAAATATAAAAATAATATATATATATTATAATTATTATAATTCTCTCTCTCTCTCTCTCTCTCT